ATACCTACCACACCACCGCCTACTAACTTACATATATCCATACCGTACACTAACGTCCTACTATACCATACGCATCTACTTACTCCATAGTACGTCCATACCAACGTACCATACATACCAATGTACCATACCATCTGTACCATATACCGCTATACTACCATACTATACCTACTACAACTATCATCCACCACTAACATCCACTGACTACTACCGTCATATATCCGTACCATATATCACATTACCGTACCAACTATCCATCTACTTACATACATACCGCAGGAATGCTACAGGATGAGGTTAAAGCTATCGGTTTTTAGTTAACAGGGGAAATTCTAATGTCATGTGTTAAACAAGTCACAAGAATTTGGAGCAACAGAAACCAAATAATGTCCAATCAATTGAATTTACCACATGTGGACTCCAGTCAAGTTGTAGAAACATCCCTAGGATGATCAATGGAAACAGGATGCACCCGAGCTCAATTTCGAGTCTCATAGCAAAGGGTCTGAATACTTACGTAAATAAGGTATTTCTGTTTTTTATTTTTAATACATTTGCAACCTGTTTTTGCTTTGTCATTATGGGGTATTGTGTGTAGATTGATGAGGAAAAAAATTAATTATATCAATTTTAGAATAAGACTAACGTAACAAAATGTGGAAAAAGTGAAGGGGTCTGAAAACTTTCCGAATGCACTGTATAGACATGTTCAATCTAACCACACTGCCTCACAGTACGTTTCGCTCACCACTGTTGTGTTAGTCAAATCAGCGTGTAGTAAACTGGGTTAAAGGGCCTCTTGTTCTGAGGCAGCACAGCACCAGGTGGCAAAGCAGTTAGTAGGCCCCAGGCCCCGTAGACCAGTCAGTCAGTAGGCCCCAGGCCCCGTAGACCAGTCAGTCAGTAGGCCCCAGGCCCCGTAGACCAGTCAGTCAGTAGGCCCCAGGCCCCGTAGACCAGTCAGTCAGTAGGCCCCAGGCCCCGTAGACCAGTCAGTTAGTAGGCCCCAGGCCCCGTAGACCAGTCAGTCAGTAGGCCCCAGGCCCGTAGACCAGTCAGTTAGTAGGCCCCAGGCCCGTAGACCAGTCAGTTAGTAGGCCCCAGGCCCCGTAGACCAGTCAGTCAGTAGGCCCCAGGCCCGTAGACCAGTCAGTTAGTAGGCCCCAGGCCCGTAGACCAGTCAGTTAGTAGGCCCCAGGCCCCGTAGACCAGTCAGTCAGTAGGCCCCAGGCCCCGTAGACCAGTCAGTTAGTAGGCCCCAGGCCCCGTAGACCAGGTCAGTTAGTAGGCCCCAGGCCCCGTTAGACTAGTCAGTTAGTAGGCCCCAGGCCCCGTAGACCAGTCAGTTAGTAGGCCCCAGGCCCCGTAGACCAGTCAGGTTAGTAGGCCAGTCAGTTAGTAGGCCCCAGGCCCCGTAGACCAGTCAGTTAGTACGGCCCCCGTAGACCAGTCAGTTAGTAGGCCCCAGGCCCCGTAGACCAGTCAGTTAGTAGGCCCCAGGCCCCGTAGACCAGTCAGTTAGTAGGCCCCAGGCCCCGTAGACCAGTCAGTCAGTAGGCCCCAGGCCCCGTAGACCAGTCAGTCAGTAGGCCCCAGGCCACCGTAAGACCAGTCAGTCAGTAGGCCCCGTAGACAGTCAGTTAGTAGGCCCCGTCGGACCAGTCAGTTAGTAGGCCCCAGCCCCGTAGACCAGTCAGTTAGTAGGCCCCAGGCCCCGTAGACCAGTCAGTTAGTAGGCCCCAGGCCCCGTAGACCAGTCAGTTAGTAGGCCCCAGGCCCCGTAGACCAGTCAGTTAGTAGGCCCCCAGGCCCCGTAGACCAGTCAGTTAGTAGGCCCCAGGCCCGTAGACCAGTCAGTTAGTAGGCCCCAGGCCCGTAGACCAGTCAGTTAGTAGGCCCCAGGCCCGTAGACCAGTCAGTCAGTAGGCCCCAGGCCCGTAGACCAGTCAGTTAGTAGGCCCCAGGCCCGTAGACCAGTCAGTTAGTAGGCCCCAGGCCCGTAGACCAGTCAGTCAGTAGGCCCCAGGCCCGTAGACCAGTCAGTTAGTAGGCCCCAGGCCCGTAGACCAGTCAGTTAGTAGGCCCCAGGCCCCGTAGACCAGTCAGTCAGTAGGCCCCAGGCCCCGTAGACCAGTCAGTTAGTAGGCCCCAGGCCCCGTAGACCAGTCAGTTAGTAGGCCCCAGGCCCCGTAGACTAGTCAGTTAGTAGGCCCCAAGCCCCGTAGACCAGTCAGTTAGTAGGCCCCAGGCCCCGTAGACCAGTCAGTTAGTAGGCCAGTCAGTTAGTAGGCCCCAGGCCCCGTAGACCAGTCAGTTAGTAGGCCCCGTAGACCAGTCAGTTAGTAGGCCCCAGGCCCCGTAGACCAGTCAGTTAGTAGGCCCCAGGCCCCGTAGACCAGTCAGTTAGTAGGCCCCAGGCCCCGTAGACCAGTCAGTCAGTAGGCCCCAGGCCCCATAGACCAGTCAGTCAGTAGGCCCCAGGCCCCGTAGACCAGTCAGTCAGTAGGCCCCGTAGACCAGTCAGTTAGTAGGCCCCGTAGACCAGTCAGTTAGTAGGCCCCAGGCCCCGTAGACCAGTCAGTTAGTAGGCCCCAGGCCCCGTAGACCAGTCAGTTAGTAGGCCCCAGGCCCCGTAGACCAGTCAGTTAGTAGGCCCCAGGCCCCGTAGACCAGTCAGTTAGTAGGCCCCAGGCCCCATAGACCAGTCAGTTAGTAGGCCCCAGGCCCCGTAGACCAGTCAGTTAGTAGGCCCCAGGCCCCGTAGACCAGTCAGTTAGTAGGCCCCGTAGACCAGTCAGTTAGTAGGCCCCAGGCCCCGTAGACCAGTCAGTCAGTAGGCCCCAGGCCCCGTAGACCAGTCAGTTAGTAGGCCCCAGGCCCGTAGACCAGTCAGTTAGTAGGCCCCAGGCCCCGTAGACCAGTCAGTTAGTAGGCCCCGTAGACCAGTCAGTTAGTAGGCCCCAGGCCCCGTAGACCAGTCAGTTAGTAGGCCCCAGGCCCCGTAGACCAGTCAGTCAGTAGGCCCCAGGCCCGGTAGACCAGTCAGTTAGTAGGCCCCAGGACCCTTAACGCAGTCAGTTAGTAGGCCCCAGGCCCCGTAGACCAGTCAGTTAGTAGGCCCCAGGCCCCGTAGACCAGTCAGTTAGTAGGCCCCAGGCCCCGTAGACCAGTCAGTTAGTAGGCCCCAGGCCCCGTAGACCAGTCAGTTAGTAGGCCCCAGGCCCCGTAGACCAGTCAGTTAGTAGGCCCCAGGCCCCGTAGACTAGTCAGTTAGTAGGCCCCAGGCCCCGTAGACCAGTCAGTTAGTAGGCCCCAGGCACCATAGACCAGTCAGTCAGTAGGCCCCAGGCCCCGTAGACTAGTCAGTTAGTAGGCCAGTCAGTTAGTAGGCCCCAGGCCCCGTAGACCAGTCAGTTAGTAGGCCAGTCAGTTAGTAGGCCCCGTAGACCAGTCAGTTAGTAGGCCCCAGGCCCCGTAGACCAGTCAGTCAGTAGGCCCCAGGCCCCGTAGACCAGTCAGTTAGTAGGCCAGTCAGTTAGTAGGCCCCAGGCCCCGTAGACCAGACAGTTAGTAGGCCCCAGGCCCCGTAGACCAGACAGTTAGTAGGCCCCAGGCCCCGTAGACCAGTCAGTTAGTAGGCCCCAGGCCCCGTAGACCAGTCAGTTAGTAGGCCCCAGGCCCCGTAGACCAGTCAGTTAGTAGGCCCCAGGCCCCGTAGACCAGTCAGTTAGTAGGCCCCAGGCCCCGTAGACCAGTCAGTCAGTAGGCCCCAGGCCCCGTAGACCAGTCAGTTAGTAGGCCCCAGGCCCCGTAGACCAGTCAGTTAGTAGGCCAGTCAGTTAGTAGGCCCCAGGCCCCGTAGACCAGTCAGTTAGTAGGCCCCAGGCCCCGTAGATCAGTCAGTTAGTAGGCCCCAGGCCCCGTAGACCAGTCAGTTAGTAGGCCCCAGGCCCCGTAGACCAGTCAGTTAGTAGGCCCCAGGCCCCGTAGACCAGTCAGTCAGTAGGCCCCAGGCCCCGTTGACCAGTCAGTTAGTAGGCCCCAGGCCCCGTAGACCAGTCAGTCAGTAGGCCCCGTAGACCAGTCGGCCCCAGGCCCCGTAGACCAGTCAGTCAGTAGGCCCCAGGCACCATAGACCAGTCAGATGGACCCAGTTTCTGTAGACCAGTCAGTTAGTAGGCCCCAGGCCCCGTAGACCAGTCAGTTAGTAGGCCCCAGGCCCCGTAGACCAGTCAGATGGACCCAGTTTCTGTAGACCAGTCAGTACGCCCCAGGCCCCGAAGTTCAGTCAATGTTTCCCCTATGATTTTTACAGGCAGCGGTGGCAAAGTTAGCGTGGTAGTGGGCGTAGGCAATGGCGCAGTCTGCGACCGATGTTTTTAAAGGCCCTCCTCTTGGCCGCAGAGACAAAAATGTAGCTGTTTTAAAGCCAATTTCCTGCAATTCTACACATTTTACCATGGCTTACGTCATGTTCTTATGCTATCTGAGTGACTCAAATCAAATGGGGGGGCCCCATGTTAATACATTTTTTAAATTTTTGATTCTCCCTGACTGTCTAGTTTTTATAAGTTCTTAAAGATGATCTAATAGTATAAAAATATATAGGTCAAATATCTTTTTTTACATACTTTATAACTGGTTTTGGTCATTTAAGTTTACACTGAAAAGTTTTACCACCCCTAAAATGCATTTATTTGGCAAACTGCAAAATTCTCTCATCTCCATGGCAGAATGTAGAATCGCAGGATATTTGCTTTAAAACTGCAACATTTTCTCTCAGCTCGACAGAGAAATTTGTAAAATAGCAGGAAATTGGCTTAAAAATGCTAAAATGTCTCTACACCGTCAGGATGGGGGCCTCTAAAATGTTCTCTGAAATTAAGCCGCGCTGATGACCGTGCCCCCTTTTGATCCAGAAAAAAAATCTGTTTCTCCACCTAAAATCTCTCCATACTTTGAATAGCATGAGCCTGTGGTTGTGGAAACAAAGTCTTACCTAGTAACAGTTGAAAGACATAAAATACAATTCCGTAGACACTGTTTGGCTGGTTCATTGCACTGTCGTTTCCGAAGATCGAGCCCAACAGTCCAAATCCTCGACCCCACCTACACAGGGAGAGGAATTGGAAGAAACAAATGGACATTTGTTGGTAATCGTGATGTTGATGAATTGCAGTGATAAATTGACAAGTACATTTAATTACCCCGAAAAACAAATGGCAATGTTCAAGGAGCTCCAGCTATTATTGGTCTAGATTCTGATAAGGTGATAGCTAGGTAGCGTATTATTGGTCTAGATTCTGATAAGGTGATAGCTAGGTAGCGTATTATTGGTCTAGATTCTGATAAGGTGATAGCTAGGTAGCGTATTATTGGTCTAGATTCTGATAAGGTGATCGCTAGGTAGCGTATTATTGGTCTAGATTCTGATAAGGTGATAGCTAGGTAGCGTATTATTGGTCTAGATTCTGATAAGGTGATAGCTAGGTAGCGTATTATTGGTCTAGATTCTGATAAGGTGATAGCTAGGTAGCGTATTATTGGTCTAGATCAGGGGTGTCAAACTCATTTTAGCTCAGGGGCCACATGGAGGAAAATCTATTCCCAAGTGGGCCGGACTGGAAAAATCATGGTATATATAACTTAAAAACAACAACTTCAGATTGTTTTCTTTGTTTTAATACGATCAACATACAACATAAAGCTGGAGCCTGAGGACAGTGTGTCCAAAATAGTACAAGCACAACATCACTATTAATCATAAAACACGTCAAGTTTATTTGAAAATTCTAAAGAAAAAGAACACACAAACACACAATGCCTCAGTGATTAACAGAACTGTTTCACAGATCACAGAACTATATCAGGGTGTCATTTCTCAGGCAGAAATGTAGATAAAAATAATGACATCCTGTTCCCCAAACAAGTGCAAGAACCACAGAGTCAAGAATAGGTTAAATATACAAATAAAATAAAAACAATTAAAAACAATAGCACAACATAAAAACATATAAACATAAAGCTGGAGCCTGAGGACAGTGTCCAAAAGCACAACATCACTATTAATCATAAAACACCTCAAGTTATTTGAAAGTTCTGAGGACAAAGAACACACAAACACACAATGCCTCAGTGATTCACAGAAGTATATCACAGAACTATATCAGGGTGTCATTTCTCAGGCAGAAATGTAGATAAGAATAATGAGATCCTGTTCCCCAAACAAGTGCAAGAACCACAGAGTCAAGAATAGGTTAAATATACAAATAAAATAAAATCAATTAAAAACAATAGCACATCAACATAAAAACATATAAACATAAATCTGAAAGCGTTGCTCAAACTCCCGTAACAGTCCCGTTATTTTATCTTTGAACCGCTTCATGTCTGCCACATGTTGGGTCGCGCACACATTTTTCAGACAGGGGAAGTGAGCTGCATCACCACCGGCAAGTTGCGTCTCCCACAATGACAGCTTCAACTTGAAAGAACGTATGCTGTCATAATACTGCGTGACAACTTTGTTGCGCCCTTGCAGATGTTTGTTCAAGTTATTCAGGTGCTCTGTAACATCCACCATAAATGCTAGGTCCTGCATCCATTCTGCGGAATGAAATTCTAACACTGGTTTGCCCTTTTCTTCCATGAACTGTTCATTTTCTTCTCGTAAATCAAAGAAACGCCTCCGCACAGCACCTCGGCTTAACCATCTTACCTCAGTGTGGTATGGCAGGCCATAGATGTGGTCTTTCTCTCTGAGAAGGCTGTCAAACTGACGGTGATTCAGGCTTCTGGATCGGATGAAATTAACAGTTTGGATGACCACCTTCATGACGTTATCCATCTTTAATGACTTGCAACACAAAGCCTCCTGGTGCAAAATACAGTGAAAAGTCAAAAAATCACGTCCTCCATTTGCAGATTGCACTTTCTCTCTGAACTTTGTCACAACGCCTGCTTTTTTCCCGATCATTGAGGGCGCACCATCTGTAGCCAGGCTGACAGCGCGGGACCAGTCCACTCCGACCCTGTCCAGCGCGCCGACGAGTGCGGTAAAAATATCAGCTGCTGTCGTTGTATCTGTCATCGGCACCAACTCCACGAACTCCTCGGTGACGGTCAATGTGTCATCAACTCCGCGGATGAAAATGGCCAGTTGTGCAACATCTGTAATGTCCGTGCTTTCATCAATTGCAACCGAAAACGCAATAAATGACTTTACTTTTTGCTTCAACTGGCTGTCCAAATCCACTGAAAGATCGGAAATCCTGTCTGCAACTGTGTTTCTTGTCAGGCTGATATTTACAAAAGCCTGACGCTTTTCAGGGCACACAATCTCCGCTGCCTTCATCATGCATGTTTTTACAAATTCACCCTCACTAAATGGTTTTGAAGCCACTGCGATTTCATTAGCAATGAGGTAGCTAGCTTTCACTGCAGCGTCACTGATGTCTCGGCTGTGAGTAAACACAGACTGCTGTTTCTTCAGACCCGCCAACAGTTCATTCACCTTCTCTCATCTCCGCTGTCCTTGAAAGTTGTCATATTTGTCGGCATGAAGACACATAGTGGCGACGAAGGTTATATTCTTTCAGCACTGCAACATGCTCTGAACACACCAAACATACAGCTTTCCATTCAATTCCGTGAATAAATAGGATGACAATTTTTCTTGGAACACTCTGCACTCTGCGTCCACTTTTCTCTTTTTTGACAGAGACATATTGGGGCAATGAGGGTGCCAAAGCACATAATGTTAAAAGTAGAAGCCATAATAAATATTGCGGGCAAAACAAAGTAGCTCATTGGCTGCACGTGCTTGACCTACTTGCTCTGCCCCGGTATAAACAGTTTGCTTGCTTAACACAATTGCTATTGCGCCATCAGTGGACGCAATTGGAACAGCAGTTTATTTTATAGAAAAATTGCAGCGCATTTTTATACTTTACAAATTTTGTACTCTTTTTTTTGTCAAAATCATCTCGTGGGCCGGATTAAACCCGTTTGCGGGCCTGATCCGGCCCGCGGGCCGGACGTTTGACACCCCTGGTCTAGATTCTGATAAGGTGATAGCTAGGTAGCGTATTATTGGTCTAGATTCTGATAAGGTGATAGCTAGGTAGCGTATTATTGGTCTAGATTCTGATAAGGTGATAGCTAGGTAGCGTATTATTGGTCTAGATTCTGATAAGGTGATAGCTAGGTAGCGTATTATTGGTCTAGATTCTGATAAGGTGATAGCTAGGTAGCGTATTATTGGTCTAGATTCTGATAAGGTGATAGCTAGGTAGCGTATTATTGGTCTAGATTCTGATAAGGTGATAGCTAGGTAGCGTATTATTGGTCTAGATTCTGATAAGGCGATAGCTAGGTAGCGTATTATTGGTCTAGATTCTGATAAGGTGATAGCTAGGTAGCGTATTATTGGTCTAGATTCTGATAAGGTGATAGCTAGGTAGCGTAAACGGTGTCAATTACAAGTTACAACTATAAATGATAAAACGGGTCTACAATACTAACTTATATTCTGATAAGGCAGTGTAATAGGTCGCCTAAACTGTGTAATTTACTAGTTATAACCATAAAAGTAAAAAGCAGGCATTCACTGAACACACTGTTTCCTTGGTTAGTGGAAATGACAGAGAAGAAAGATAACCAAGTGCGTTGGAAGTCCTGAGTGACGCAACAAGCACTGGTCCTGGTTACACGTCTTCAGAGGGAAGCCCTGAACTGGCAAACCAGCCTTCAGACAGCAGACTTCAAGGTAAACTGACTCCAAAATGTTTCACTCGAAAAATGACAGGGTTGACTGTTTCTGGCAAGAGGGTAACGAAATGCACATAGAATTATTTTATTTTTTGTATTTTACCCCCTTTTTTGATCTTGTCTCATCGCTGTAACTGCCCAACGGGCTTGGGAGAGGCGAAGGTGGAGTCGTGCGTCCTCCGAAACATGATCCGCCTAACCGCGCTCCTTAACACCCACCAGCTTAACCCGGAAGCCAGCCGCACCAATGTGTCGGAGGAAACAACTGTTCAACTGGCGACCGGGGTCAGCCTGCAGGCACCCGGCCCGCCACAAGGAATCGCTAGAGCGCGATGAGCCAAGTAAAGCCCCACCGGCCAAACCCTCCCCTAACCCGGATGACTTTGGGCCAATTGTGCGCCGTCCTATGGGACTCCCGGCCACGGTCGGTTGTGGCACAGCCCGGGAATGAACCCGGGTCTGTAGTAACGCCTCTAGCACTGCGATACAGTGCCTTAGACCGCTGCGCCACCTGGGAAGTCGAAATGCACACTAATTTTACAAGATAAACATCACTACTGCATAGACCGCACTTTTACCCAATAGCTCATCAAGAGGTCTGTAACAGTCAATAAGTTAATGACAACGTCAACATCCCTGTAACAGTAAACAAGAGAGATGTGACCCATTTATTTCCTTCCAGCTCCAATTTAACCAGAGTGTCTTTCCTACCAGCTCCAATTCAACCAGAGTGTCTTTCCTACCGGCTCCAATTCAACCAGAGTGTCTTTCCTACCAACTCCAATTCAACCAGAGTGTCTTTCCTACCAACTCCAATTCAACCAGAGTGTCTTTCCTACCAGCTCCAATTCAACCAGAGTGTCTTTCCTACCAGCTCCAATTCAACCAGAGTGTCTTTCCTACCAGCTCCAATTCAACCAGAGTGTCTTTCCTACCAGCTCCAATTCAACCAGAGTGTCTTTCCTACCAGCTCCAATTCAACCAGAGTGTCTTTCCTACCAGCTCCAATTCAACCGGCTTCCCCTCCAATTCAACCAGAGTGTCTTTCCTACCGCTCCAATTCAACCAGAGTGTCTTTCCTACCGCTCCAATTCAACCAGAGTGTCTGTCCTACCAGCTCCAATTCAACCAGAGTGTCTTTCCTACCGGCTCCAATTCAACCAGAGTGTCTTTCCTACCAGCTCCAATTCAACCAGAGTGTCTTTCCTACCAGCTCCAATTCAACCAGAGTGTCTTTCCTACCGGCTCCAATTCAACCAGAGTGTCTTTCCTACCAGCTCCAATTCAACCAGAGTGTCTTTCCTACCAGCTCCAATTCAACCAGTGTCTTTCCTACCGGCTCCAATTCAACCAGAGTGTCTTTCCTACCAGCTCCAATTCAACCAGAGTGTCTTTCCTACCAGCTCCAATTCAACCAGAGTGTCTTTCCTACCGGCTCCAATTCAACCAGAGTGTCTTTCCTACCGGCTCCAATTCAACCAGAGTGTCTTTCCTACCAACTCCAATTCAACCAGAGTGTCTTTCTACCGCTCCAATTCAACAGGGTGTCTTTCCTACCAACTCCAATTCAACCAGAGTGTCTTTCCTACCAGCTCCAATTCAACCAGAGTGTCTTTCCTACCAGCTCCAATTCAACCAGAGTGTCTTTCCTACCAGCTCCAATTCAGCCAGAGTTTCTGAATGTCAACAGCAAATAATAATACAGATATAGTACTGAATGTTTATTTGGACTACTTTTAGGGCCAGAGTGTCACCAGCTCACAGCACTTAAGTTTTGTTTTTCATTTTTCATTTTGCCATCATGCTTTATCGGTGTTGCCTCCGTGGGTAGGCCTATACAACCATGAGAAGGCCAGCTGTGGGGAATTTCTCCCATTCTTCTCTGCAGATCCTCTCAAGCTCTGTCAGGTTGGATGGGGAGCGTCGCTGCACAGCTATTTTTCAGGTCTCTCCAGATCGGCTTCAAGTCCGGGCTCTGGCTGGGCCACTCAAGGACATTCAGAGACTTGTCCCGAAGCCACTCCTGCGTTGTCTTGGCTGTGTGCTTAGGATTGTTGTCCTGTTGGAAGGTAAACCTTCGCCCCAGTCTGTGGTCCTGAGTGCTCTGGAGCAGGTTATCATCAAGGATCTCGCTGTACGTTGCTCCATTCATCATTCCCTCAATCCTGACTAGTCTCCCAATCCCTGCCGCTGAAAAACATCCACAGAGCATGATGCTGCCACCACCATACTTCACCGTGGGGATGGTGCCAGGTTTCCTCCAGACGTGAAACTTGGCATTCAGGCAAAGAGTTCAATCTTGGTTTCATCAGACCAGAAAATCTTGCTTCTCATGGTCTGAAAGTCCTTTAGGTGCCTTTTGGCAAACTCCAAGCGGGCTGTCATGTGCCTTTTACTGAGTAGTAGCTTCCGTCTGGCCGCTCTACCATAAAGGCCTGATTGGTGGAGTGCTGCAGAGATGGTTGTCCTTCTGGAAGGTTCTCACATCTCCACAGGGGAACTCTGGAGCTCTGTCAGAGTAACCATCAGGTTCTTGGTCACCTCCCTGACCAAGGCCCTTCTCCCCCGATTGCTCAGTTTGGCCGGGCAGCCAGCTCTAGGAAGAGTCTTGGTGGTTCCAAACTTCTTCCATTTAAGAATGATTGAGGCCACTGTGTTCTTGGGGACCTTCAATGCTGCAGAAATGTTTTGGTACCTTTCCACAGATCTGTGCCTCGGCACAATCCTGTCTCGGAGCGCTACGGACAATTCCTTTGACCTCATGGCTTGGTTTTTGCTCTGACATGCACTGTCAACTGTGGGACCTTATATAGACAGCTGTGTGCCTTTCCAAATCATGTCCAATCAATTGAATTTACCACAGGTGGACTTCAATCAAGTTGAGCTCAATTTCAAGTCTCATAGCAAAGGGTCTGAATACTTATGTACATAAGGTATCTGTTTTTTATTTTTTATACATTTGCAAAAATGTCTAAAGACCTGTTTTCGCTTTGTCATTATGGGGTATTGTGTGTAGATTGTTGAGGGAAAGCATTCATTTAATCCATTTTAGAATAAGGCTGTAACGTAACAATGTGGAAAAAGTGAAGGGGTCTGAATACTTCCCGAATGCACTGTATACAACCATTCAGAAGGCCAGCTGGAAAGGCCAGGCCTATACAACCATGGAGCAGTCCAGCTGAATTCTTGTGTGAACAACTTGGAATATGGAAACCATTCCTTTCAAAGCCGATGGGAAAATGTCATGACAGTTATACTGCCTCTTAAAAAAAGACTACCTGAGCAAGCCACTGACACCTAAAGAAGCTATTACAATGATTTTTCCAAGAATGCTAACAAAGGTTATTGGGCGAATGTCCTGCAGTATTTATAACAGTTCTGGTCTAGCAGTTATGCTACATGGTAAAGGCTATAGGCCTCCTTTCCTATAGGGTGGCAGGTAGCTTAGTGGTTAAGAGCATTGTGCCAGTAACCGAAAGGTCGCTGGTTCTAATCCCCGAGCCGACTAGGTGAAAAATCTGTCGATGTCCCCTTGAGCAAGGCACTTAACCCTAGCGTCTGCTAAATGACTAAAATGTAAATGGGTTCCTCTGTATGCAGTTCAGAGATGCCACACAGACCAAGAGCATCCAGTCTCTTTTCTCTCATTGCTATAAAAAAAAAAAAAAAAAAAACGCTCCTTCTTGAGACAAAATATTGTACATTATGCCACTATAAATGAACTGGTTTAGGTCGGGTGTTATTCAAAGCATCATGATGGCCTTCGGCAGGCAGTGTGTGGTTGAGAAACTGATGGTCTCATCACGTGTTGTTCTCATGACTCCAGCACCACGTCTGAAATATCTCGTCCCTGTATTCCCCCCCAGAGACCTGACATTGCCTGTCCACCTTAAACATCAAACAGGAGTGTGCATTTCACATAACCCTTGTAGCTACCCTAAAATCACGTGGACTAGGGCACATGACAAGTGAACTAAGGATGAAATCCAAACAGGTCATGTGACTTCAGCTTTGTCAATATACAATTATATGCATTTCCCCAATATAAAGGAACAGGTTGTTCATATTGTCATTGACGTATTACATTTTAGTCATTTAGCAGACGCTTTTATCCAGAGCGACTTACAGTTAATGAGTGCATACATTTTTTCATACTGGCCCCCCCGTGGGAAACGAACCCACAACCCTGGCGTTGCAAGCGCCATGCTCTACCAAATGAGCTACAGCTGACAATTCAACTAATCTTATTGACGGAATCCAAGGCCCCCATGGGCCATATTTGATATAGTTAATGGTCCTATACAAATGTAGCCTATAGTTTCTAACATTGCCGTTTGGCTTTTTAAATCAGTTTTAGATATTGGAAAACGTGCTTGAGGTACTATCCAACTTATTTAATGGGTAACGTTAGATTAGACAGCTGATTCACACATGTTTAGACAAGTTACACAAAACTGGCTGAATGGTTACGCCGATTTCGTCTAGCTAGCTAGGCTAACTTAGTAACTAGCCAATATAGTTTGCTGCCGGCGGTGGCGCCGTATTCGCTAGCTAGGTAGTTGGCTAATTTAACAATATAATGAAGTTTGGAGGAAAACAAAGTGTGTAAAATGTGCATCCATTGAAATGAAAAAACACCACTTCCTGGCATCTAGCAAACAAACAGCCAGTTAGTAGCTAGCTAGTTAGTTGCTGGCTGGTGAATAAGTAGCGTTAGCAATTTGGCTAAAAAGCTACACTAGCTTCTACAGTAAAACATGCCAGCCTTAAGTTTGTTATCAATAGTAAGCAAGCTTCTGATTGTAACTTTTGTACGTTTTTTTTTGGCGAAAACCATTGCAGTTTTTACAGAAATTGCAAATGTACTTAAAAAAAGAGCGCATGCGGGGAAGAAAATGACAGTTCAGCTGGCAAAGCCGTTCCCACAATGCCACAAAACCGCCCCGTCTCATTCAGAGCGCTGCTGCTACTCGGCGCCGCTGTTGAATTCAAAATTTTACCTGGAGGTGAAGACTTTTGAACAGCTGATAGAATCGCTCACGTCGCACATGGCCCGATAATTCGAGTCTCTAGACTTTTCAGTTTCCACATGAAAGGCGTATAAGGACAACAATATGCCCAAGACGCAAACAAGGAGCCTGGCTATTCTTTCCCATCGAGGGGTGGACACTCGCAGGACGGGCGCCGCCATCTTTCTCCGGCCTAGCTAGAGTCGTACACGCAACCGCTTACCATTGGGGACAACGAGAACTGCGACGTGGAAACAGCGTCAGGACGCGCCCACACCACCAGGGCAGGGGCGTGTCACCAAAGTGTCATGGTCTCGCCACCCCTTGTCTACTGTACAAGGGGCCTGCCAAAGTGCTAATACGGGAAATATGTTCGTGTACATATAAAAATTTGCGTGAACATTTTTCCCATATCATACCTGTAACAGAGTTTGACTGTATTTATCACATTGCTGGTCAGCTAGACTTAGTGTTGGTCTATGATAATAAAACTATACCTCTATCTAAGAGCTGGCGCTCCCCATGTCCTTGATCTCTGAGACCAATCTAATCTATTACAAAAATAAATTCAATGAACATGTATGGCAATCCTCCCATGCCTCTGAGCAAGAGTAGCACATAGCTTTAAAATGTTTTTAGCAGTTGGGTCATACTGCCTCTCAGTGTCTCGGTCGTGTACTGTTAGATATTAGAGTTTGAGATAATTTCTAATAATATAATATACCATTTAGCAGACGCTTTTATCCAAAGCGACTTACAGTCATGCGTGCATACATTTTTGTGTATGGGTGGTCCCGGGGATCGAACCCACTACCTTGGCGTTACAAGCGCCATGCTCTACCAGCTGAGCTACAGAGGACCACATACTGAGTAAAACATTTATTGGTCACGTGCACAGATTTGCAGGTGTTTTGGCGGGTGCAGCGAAATGCTTGTTACTAGCTCCAACAGTGCAGTAGAATGTCTTGCAAATACAATACACATGGAATGTGAAAGTGGACAGTGTCATATGTTTACTGTACATGTCTAGATTTGACTCGCATTGACCAGTAGGCCCCGATAGCAGTCTACAGCCAATAGACATATTTAATACTGTGTCATCATGGTAGATTTACTGCATGTATCTCGGTATTGGGATTGTGTTCTCACTCACAAACGCACGGTAGGAGATCATATTTCCCTTAAATGGTTGAAACGGACAGTTTAGAAATGTCAAAGCTATTAGGAGATTTGCCAGAAAGTATATATAAGAAAGGAAATGGACTTCGATGGTTCGAGTGAAGAGTAAGGAGCACCCATAGACATCAAGCTTTCGTGAAGCACTCCTGTGCCATCAGGTGGAGAGATTAAATTTCAAACTGATTGATCAATACAGCAATGCTTAGGTGGTAACTATTGCTTTGCTATGATGTTTATAATAGTAATGGACGTGTGACTACCTACCTTGCATACAGTATAAATTGTAAAGTCTGTCTGGCAAACATTTTTTTATTTTTTTTAGAGGGTAGATCAACTTTAATATTGCAGATAGATTGTAACTTCCATCAATGTAATTATCTCGCAAATATATATACACATATACATACATACACACATACATATAAATACATGTATATACATATATATATACACATAAAAAAATATATTTCCCTTTATTACTTTCCAACCCCACCACCCCTTCCCTAATTGGAGTAAACTAGTGACCGACAATGCTTAGGCCTCTACTTCCAGCATACATTCTATATACATTTGAAGTCTGTCTGACAATTACAATATTAATATTTCAATATTCATATTTTCTGTTGTAATTATTCTGCTGGCATTACTATAATTTTTTCATCATTATTATGACCCATCTGTTAATAAATAAATGTTTGTTTTTTTTGCATCCTGAGTCTCCTGAGTGGCGCAGTGGTCTAAGGCACTGCATCGCAGTGCTAACTGTGCCACTAGATCCTGGTTCGAATCCAGGCTCTGTCGTAGCCGGCCGTGACCGGGAGACTCATGGGCGGCGCACAATTGGCTCAGTGTCGTCCAGGGTAGGGGAGGGAATGGCCGGCAGGGATGTAGCTCAGTTGATAGAGCAACGGCAGGGTTGTGGGTTCGATTCCCACGGGGGGCCAGTATAAAAAAAATATATATGTATTCATATATGTAAGTCGCTCTGGATAAGAGCGTCTGCTAAATGACTAAAATGTAAAATGTAATGTCTTATGTACGAGCTCCCAAAGCAAATTGTGAAGAAGGCAAATAATTATTGGTTAACTGACCAATAAGCAGATCTTGTCGTGCTACATTGAACCCTTTAGTTACACGTCAAGTGCACAACCACCTGTATCATAGCCTCTGCTCTGTCACAGGCTTTCAGGGGGGTGGAGCATCGCAAGTTTAAGACCATGCTTAGCCAATGTTCTCTCTCTTACGTCTTGTCTTAACAAGAGATGGTCACTGTTGTTTTTATACTGTGTTGAGTTCGGTTAATAAACCGGGAATTCGTAAACTCCATCCTCTGTCTGGACATTTGTTAATTTATGATCTAGCCAGGTCATTACAATATGATGGTATACAAATGTAAGCAAGGCTTGAAATGATTGTTTTAGTCAAATGTTATATCTGTTTGGGCTTCTTGCGGTCAATTTGCAGTCTAATAATTATTTGTAATTAAGCTCCGGCCCCCTGACCATCCTCTCAAGAATCGAGTTGATCCCGCATAGAGCGAATACATACTGTAAATAGGTAAATAGCAGCTTCCCACTGGGGGAAAAACTGAGAACGCAGCCTTGTAAAACGAAGGGACCTTGACATGGGCCAATCAGAGTCGTCTCTTGATCATGTGACGTTATGCATATAAACAGTGAGTGACATCATCTGTTTACTTCAGCTTTTGCACCGCTGATAGACTTCACTAGAGTACTGCACTAACAACATTTGCCTCTCCTAAAATTATGGCAACAGACATCGAAATATTTGCATTTTTCGAAGAAGCACACTACGACCAATATGATTACTACAACCTAGCCGAATATTCATGTCATGCGGGTGGAAAAGGTAGAACCAAGAGAGAAATCGGACTGAACACCAATCGCCATATCCCTGCTGGGCACGAGAGAAAAATTGCCGAAAAATATCAAAACAGTGAACTGAAACGCAGGAGAACCAAAAGTTCATCTTGATGGAATTCGTCTCAGGTAATGTTGTAGAACTATGAAAGATATGGAAAATGTGATGAAAATGTGCCAATTTTCGTGTGAACAATGCTGCGTATAAACATGTCTGTTCATGTCCTTCTCCCTCTGAGCTGTTGTTGTACTTGTCCAGCTGCCATTTTAAGACGAACAAAGAACCGTGTCAATGCATTGGGTGGAGTTTTTGACATTCTGGATTAACAGCATTTATACCCAATAACAAATCGGTGTAACTATTGTTAATTGTTGAACTTGAACAAGGACTTATTATTCTTTATGTATTATCTCCCTTCTATACAGATCTGAACCCTAACTGAAGATTGAACTGGAACGTGGTCTAAATATGTATTTTTGCCTTTCCTGACCCTTCTGACCCAGTGAAAGGAGTTGACTGTGACTTTACCTGCAATGCTGGCCTGCATGGAAACACACCTTGGCATTTAGTCTCGAGGGCACTCCTATTCCACATGTTGCACCCCTGTAACCAGACCTGGGTGGTCTCCAGTTACAGCAGTGTGCAAGAACAGTTTGTTTTTAATGGTTGTAGACCTCTCTAGGACTCTTATGTTGTTATGATACTGTTTGGTTTAAAGTGTAAGATGTACTGTATTGTGACTAAAAGGCAGAAATAAAGAGATGGTGATTTTAAAGAGAGATGATTGAAGTTGACCCTCATTTATCTGATCCAAATACCTGTATGATGTGAGTCAAATCAGCCTAATTAGTTTTTAAATAATGCCCCTAATCTATGGATTTCACATGACTGGGCAGGGGCGCAACCATGGTTGGGCCTGGGAGGGCATAGGCCCACCCACTTGGGAGCCAGGCCCAGCCAATCTGAATGAGTTTTTTCCCCCCCCCCCACAAAAGGGCTTTATGACAGACAGAAATACTCCTCAGTTTCATCAGCTGTCCGGGTGGCTGGTCTCAGACAATCCCGCAGGTGAAGAAGCCGGATGTGGAGGTCCTGGGCTGGCTGGTTGCATGTGGTCTGTGGTTATGAGGCCGGTTGGACATACTGCCAAATTCTCTAAAACGACATTATGGTAGAGAAATGAACATTAAATTCTCTGACAACAGCTCTGGTGGACATTCCTGCAGTCAGCATGCCAATTCCAAGCTTCCTCAAAACTTGAGACATATGTGGCATTGTGTTGTGTGACAAAACTGCACATTTTAGAGTGGCCATTTATTGTCCCCAGCACAAGGTGCACCTGTGTAATGATCATGTTGTTTAATCAGCTTCTTGATATGCCACACCTGTCAGGTGGATGGATTATATTGGCAAAGGAGCAATGCTCACTAACAGGGATGTAAACAAATTTGTGAAAAATAAGCTTTTTTGTGAGTATGGAAAATTTTGACACTTTACATGTTGCGTTTATATTTTTGTTCAGTATACATATACTGTAGTTCATACATTTTAGTCATTTAGCAGACGCTCTTATCCAGAGCGACTTACAGTTAGTGAGTGCATACATTTTCATACTGGCCCCCCGTGGGAATCGAACCCACAACCCTGGCGTTGCAAGCGCCATGCTCTACCAACAGTTCACTACTCCCCATCACTGTGAAATTTGGTATGAATCCCAAATGTAAGACAGTCACCTCACTCTCCATCTCCTCTCTCAGCCTCATCACTTTCTCTATCCGTCTTTCCACTTTCTCATTCATTTCTACCTTTCCCCCCCCTAAAAAGGGTGGTTGTCCCACTGGCTATCCTAAGTTGAATGCACCAATTTGTAAGTCGCTCTGGATAAGAGCTTCTGCTAAATTATGTAAATGTATATGTAATACCAGTAAGACATTGTTCCTCGCTAAATCGTGCTTTCTTCCCTTTCTACATTTGAAGGCACTGGCAGTGCAAATATCCTTGTGGCAGTTAGCCTAGCGGTTAAGAGCATTGGGCCTTTAACCGAAAAGTTGCTGGTTCAAATCCATGAGCCGGCAAGGTGGAAAAATCTGCCCTTCAGTAAGGCAGTTAAACGCGGAAGACCTGTTGGTTGAACGCATTCGCCTGTGCAACAGACTAGGTATCCCCTTTACTCTCCCTGGCCTGTAGGTGTCCCTAAAGTATTGCGACTAGCACGAGTGGGCGGTACTTTCACCCCTCACCCCTGATGACGTCACGCCTTTTACCAACATGTGTCTGTTTTTCTAGCTAGCTAGCTAGCAGTCGACATATTAGAATTGTGTTCCACGTGAAATTTGTTTAGAATATTATAATCAAAATGCAGATCTGCAATGTGTGCAGTGGAGAGACACCCAAATACCGATGTCCGGCCTGTAGAATCAGATAGTGAGTATAATTTCTTCTTGTTTGTACTTCTGCTGCAGATTTTTAAAAAACAGCTAGCTAGGTACCGCTACTAAAGCTACATAATTTAGCTAGCTAGCTACAAAACATGCATTATATGATTTGTCTGTCATGTTCTGTTCCACATTTTGACCTTTTGTTTTGTTTTTCAGCTGCTCTCTCAGTTGTTACAAGACCCACAAGGCCAATGGTAAGAACGTTTGTTTTTCCATTACATTAGTACCTATAGTCTTGAAGTGACTATCATTCATAAATAACCTATAGAGTATAGAGCAATAGCAGATAACATGCGTTATCACAGTTGAGGTATCATGTGGATCATGACATGACAGTCTACCATGATGTTTTCTTTTCCCAGATACCTGCCAGCCCCCAAAACAGTCAGTGCCTCCTCCTGCTCAAGACCTAAATGGAGCTTACGGCAATGGTAGGTTATAATGGTCAATGTAATTGCCAATCTTATACCTAGAACCTTCTCATCAATTCCCAGGAATGTACTCAGTTTGGTGAGATGTTCAGAAGTTAAACATTGCAGACAGAATTATGCTTTATCCGTTGGGACCCTGTTTTCCTCATTTTCTATCAGGCAACACATTTGTTTATCACGTTTGTTTGACGCTCTGTGTAAAATACAGCCGTTCGACTATACACTCTGTCTGGTTCTTTCAGCAGAAGATCCCTGGACCGTTGAAGATGTCCTTGATGATGATGACGACCATACAGATAAAGTTCCACTTCAGAGGCTACGACTATTAGGTACTAAATGCATTGGGACATTTCCGTTTGCACTCTGAACTTTTAAACCCCTGTAACTTACTGGGTACATGAGTCACTTGGCTGCCATATTGTCCACTAATACATTATTAATGGACGAGTTTTACTGTATGAAATGTTGTTCTAACGTCTGTGCTGTAATACCATTGTTTATGCTTCTCTACAGGCAAGTCGGAGGAGCTGAGAGCGCTGCTCCGGAACCCCCACCTCTGTCAGCTGATGCGCTCTGTGGACACGGCCGAGAGCAAAGCAGACGCCATGAAGACCGCCATGCAAGAGCCTCTGTTTGTTGAGCTATCAGATCAATGCTTGCAGATTGTTGAGAAAAACGATTAAAATGTACTTGCAGAATACCCTATTATGACCCACACGGAGTCAATAATTCAGTTTTTTTTTTTTTTTGTTGACAAAAACAATTATCTTCGGTTTATTTCTACTGTGTAAATATACAAAGCAGTATACCAATTTGTTAAATATTTATTTTGACTTGGAACTACAGTATTGCAAAGACAACTAGCTAAGTCAGGTCTTTTAAAAGGGTTCTTGGTACAGCTATATAAACACCAAGTAGCTAGCAATGTTTCATAACACATTTGGTCTGGGTATGGCTTTGAATGGCCTTAAACGTAACAAGAACTATTGTTTAGTCGGTTCAAAATACAAACGTAATTCAAGGAAGGATTATATTAGCAGTGGGTTACAAAAGATAAGTTACTCTAGTAGAAGGTATTGGACAAGGCAAAGGTAACTACTGTAGTGGCGAAGTAGCAAAATAAAGGTCAAAAGTATACAATCCTTTTTGGCAAATAAACATCGTCATGGCATTTCAAGCAATGTGGCACATCAATGGTTCTTTTCAAATAAATACAGCAAAACATTGGGTGTTTCTGTCGTGCCGTTTGGTTATTAACACTGAAGCGATCAGCAGCAAACTGGTTGACATTGATTATAAAGCTTGTTAAAAGACATACTATTCCCATGTATGCAAAACACTGTAGTGTACCTCTTCTAATAAAGATCTCATAATGAAGCTTGTGCCATAAAATACACTGGATTTGGTGTAAATGCCCAGCTTTCTCTTGATCTGTAGTTGACTATGCTAAAATTAGTTCGATTTGGTCAGTGAGCTCAAGTGTACAGATATAAAAAAATCCAGAATGTGGTTTAAACAGAACATGTATCCCTGATGAAAATAACATTTTATAGATAATTTCCCTCTAAAAAACAGGCATGTCAATAACTTAAACAATGCAGCAATATCTAAAATTAAAACATGATCTTTAACATTGCAAAAGGAGTACCACAAATATCCCAAAAGCAACTGCTTCCCTCTACCCATAAATAAAAATGGCAAGTTCACCCACGGTACATTCTTGAGTTTAACACCACGGATTTTGAGAAAGGCACCCAAGTGGTCATAAAGCCTGAGACTTTCCAACAATCAACAAATATTTCCAATATGGCAGCTACAGTCCTACAAGACCATTTCTCTAGGACCATTATCTCCATCTACAGTACATATCAAAAGGTGCAGTTATATAATTGAGGCAGCTCATTTAAAGTGTTGGATATAAAGCAGGAACATAGAATGGATCCCATTCAGGTGTCCTCTAGCAGTATCTGGTTCAATCCTGTCACTCCATCATGCTTGTTGTCTGGATGCATATCGGCGTAGAGCAGTGGAGATCGCTGGTAGTGGAGCTTAATAGACCCCTAAATGAAGTGAGAAAGGACCACAAAATCACAATGAATCTGTACAGAAATAACAACAATACAGTATCACAAATGTGAATACAGGTGGGAATGGTCTGTGTGAGGAGAGTATAATACCTGGGTCAAATACATAATTCAAAAAAATGTATATTTGAGGTGCGCTCGACTTCGCTTGCCTCAAGTATTTCAAATATTTGTCTGGAGGGGAGAGATTGTGGTCTTACCCTGGGCTGAGCCCTGATGGAGGCAACCCCCTGCTTGAATTGGTTGGTCTCCACCTTGTACTCCCCGGTCCTGAAGCAGTGTCCGTTGAGGCAGGCCATTACAGACATCATCTTCTGGAAGCCCGTCGCGGTCATGGACACAGTGACGGTGGGGGCTGAGGCCAGGGCCAGGCCCATGGGCCAGCCTCGCACCATGACGGGCTCCTGGATGCTGGAGAGCTGCACCAAGCCCCTGGCCCGGAGGATGGGGTCCAACTCTGGTGGCACGGCCTCCTCCTGAAGATCCTCTGCGTCGTCCAGCTCTGCCTCAGCCAGGGCGTCCATCAGCGCCTGCAACACGAGGACAGTCAGTACAGTCATTCACAGCTCCTGCACTAGCTTTTCCTTCTTTCACGTCTGACAAGGAGGACCACAATGGAGAAAAAAAAAAAAAAGGTTGACATTGTGTTTAATGCGTGTATGGTTTATTTCCTTTGACTGAAGCAACTGTTTGTATTTTACATGTCAAATCAAAATGAATTCATTCCCGTAGGAAAGGAGAAAAATCCTACTTAGAAGAACTGGCCACTTGAGTTAAACACACGGTCCTAGAATTCAGACAGCGAGGATGGGAGCCACTGAATTCAAGAAAATCATGCATGCCACCTATTTTAATTGACCCTTCGTTTTAACCAGGAAAGATCCTTGAGGTTAAAAACCCATTTTGTGCGAGGGTGACCTAGCAAGAAGCCAGCAGCACTTCTACTCACCCTCCATTTCCTCCAGGACCTCTGGAGCACTATGGCTGCCCTGTGCCACCTGTGGATCGCTCTCCTGACCAGCCATGACCTCACCACTGCCGGGGGGAAGGAGAAGCGACCAGATAATGATACAGCCACAGAATTAGAAAGAACACATTTACATCGTATCTCTATAGATCCATCACAGACAACCGAACAGTAACTCCCATAATAAGTCTCTCTGGATAAGAGCGTCTGCTAAATGACTTAAATGTAAATGTAATAATATCAAGACAACAGTGCATTCTATACATGCACCATTTTGTCTGACAGCTGTGTCAAATGCTGCAATCTGTATAAATGAACACCTTATCTGGATTAAATCATCGAGATCTGATCACCAAAAGGTACATCTAGATAACATTAACATCAATGTGATTCAGGGGAAACGTATGGTCAAGGTGTTGTTCAGGTGAGCTTAAGTTGTTCTGTTCCCTTCATAAGGATTTAGGTACAGTAACCCGTAGTCATCTGAACAATGTTGCAGGCTCTACCAGCTGGTGCCTCTTGGTCAGACAGCCAGGTAGACTAAGACAGGACACCTAGACAGGAACAGCCAGACCAAGACAGGACACCTAGACAGGAACAGCCAGACCAAGACAGGACACCTAGACAGGAACAGCCAGGTAGAGCCAGACCAAGACAGGACACCTAGACAGGAACAGCCAGGTAGACTAAGACAGGACACCTAGACAGGAACAGCCAGGTAGAGCCAGACCAAGACAGGACACCTAGACAGGAACAGCCAGGTAGAGCCAGACTAAGACAGGAGACCTAGACAGGAACAGCCAGACCGAGACAGGACACCTAGACAGGAACAGCCAGACCAAGACAGGACACCTAGACAGGAACAGCCAGACCAAGACAGGACACCTAGACAGGAACAGCCAGGTAGAGTCAGACTAAGACAGGACACCTAGACAGGAACAGCCAGACCAAGACAGGACACCTAGACAGGAACAGCCAGGTAGAGCCAGACTAAGACAGGACACCTAGACAGGAACAGCCAGGTAGAGCCAGACTAAGACAGGACACCTAGACAGGAACAGCCAGACCAAGACAGGAGACAGGAACAGCCAGGTAGAGCCAGACTAAGACAGGACACCTAGACAGGAACAGCCAGGTCGAGCCAGACCAAGACAGGAGGTTACTGTACATACAGCAGTGGAGCTGTGTACCAAAGCTTTAAGAAAACCTGTGTGCCATGCAATGATCCCATTCGCATAACAGAAGTGATGGCAGACACAGTTGGAGCGAGGCCATAGTTACCGAGCAGTATACTGTGACCTCTCCCTCTCCTCACAGGCCGGTAGGGATTTAGGTCTTGACCTTACCTGCTTGGATCAGGGTGGAGGCCCGTCTCGCGGCGTGACGTCTGCGTTGTTTGTGCCTGTGCCAGCAGCACTGGATAGAGAAGGCCCTCTGGGAGCGCACCCTGTTTCTGCCTTCCTCCATCAGCTCCAGCTATAGATTAGATCAGTGCTGAGGATTAGGCCTATCCCAGAACCACAGTACACTGCTTATAGACAGGACAACTGTCTGGAGGCCACCGAAGCTGAGTTCATAGTTCACAGTGGCCGAGCCCTCAATAGTCCGTCGGCCGGGTAGAGATCCCATTCAGTTCTATTGGTCGGCCCATGGTGACATAAACGGTCCGCTGACTATCGTGGCTATGCCAGCTGTGACCTATCCCACTGGGCAACAGACGTCAGTTCAACGTCTAGTTTTTGATTTACAAATTGTTTTAGTTGTCAACTAACGTGAATTCAAGAAACATTTGAACCATCTCATTTGGATTTAGACTAAAAAAAAGACACGTTCGAAATTCCTTTACGTTGATTACTTTTTGCGAATCCAAAAATCGGTTTTCCACATTGATTCAGTGTCATCGCGTTAATTTTGTTGTTGTTGTTGAAAAGATGTGGAAACAATGTCGTTTCAAGCAGTTTGTGCCCAGTGGGATGTTTTGAGTTTTTATGCTCCACTCAACAGTGTGATCCTGTTACAGTGTATGGATTAGAGGGCTTCTTAACACACGAATCACACCAACTAACTACACAGAACAAAAATATAAATGCAACATTTAAAAAGTGTTGGTCCCATGTTTCATGAGCTGAAATAAAAAGGAGGCCAGAAATTTTCCATAGACACAAAAAAACAATTTCTCTCAAATGTTGTGCACAAATTTGTTTACATCCCTGTTAGTGAGCATTTTATCCGTTGCCAAGATAATCCATCCACCTGCCAGGTGTGGCATATCAAGAAGCTGATTAAACAGCATGATCATTACACAGGTGGACCTTATGCTGGGGACAATAAAAGGCCACTCTAAAATGCTATAGATGTACAACACAATGCTATAGATGTATCAAGTTTTGAGGGAGCGTGCAATTGGCATGCTGACTGCAGGAATGTCCACCAGAGCTGTTGACAGAGAATTGAATGTTCATTTCTCTACCATAAGCTGCCTTTAACGTCGTTTTAGAGAATTTGACAGTACGTCCAACCGGCCTCATAACCACAGACCACATGCAACCAGCCAGCCCAGGACCTCCACATCCGGCTTCTTCACCTGCGGGATTGTCTGAGACCAGCCACCCGGACAGCTGATGAAACTGAGGAGTATTTGTCTGTAATAAAGCCCTTTTGTGGGGAAAAAAAAAACCTCATTTTGATTAGCTGGGCCTCGCTCCCCAGTGGTTGGACCTGGTGCTCATGTGGGTGGGCCTATGCCCTCCCAGGCCCACCCATGGCTGCGCCCCTGCCCAGTCATGTGAAATCCATAGATTAGGGCCTAATTAATTTATTTCAATTGACTGACTTCTTTATATAATCTGTAACTCAGTAAAATCATTGAAATTGTTGCATGTTATGGTTATATTTTTGTTCAGTATACATAACTGGACTTCACTCAAGACTATTAAATCTCATTGTTATCAAATCAAATCACAGATGTAAATTCAACCGACTATGATGCTGAAGACCAACTCACCGTGGAATTAGTCAGGAACACTTTGGTCCTGCCGCAGTGCACCAGCGAGCTGCGGGTCTCGCTGTCGCTATGGTGCGAGGGGTCGAGAGAGTTACTTTTTAACACCACCCTGAGAATATTAGCCACAGCCGAACCAAGATCATCCTTGTTGTTCTCCTCCAATCCTGAGGGAGGAGGGGGGAGGGGTTAGAGACATAGACTGAAATCTATATGAAGGACTGCATGCATTTAGACACATGGCAGAGTCGAACACATCTTACATAGCATACCATGACACGATAGTCTGCATGCCGAAACACTGCCCAGATTTTTACCACAGCCTGATATTTTTCATTCGAGGTAGCACTTAAAAATGGTTGCTTCAAGGTTAACGTGAATGTTGTTGACCCCATTCTGTTTCGACTGCCAAACCACACAATGAATGCCCTTTGTGTATAAACACTTGATGGTAGCCTGTAAACCAAGGTATGAGGTAAAACTATGTAGATGATGAGCATTACACAGGATTAAGTGTCACCCCATAACAATGGAAAATTAGCATAACACATATTTCCGTTCTGGAATACAAAACAAACGGCATCGACTTGACAGTAGGACAGATAATTCATTTTGACAGCAAGTCAGAGCCGGCGGGGAACGTCGGAGAAGGAAAAAGCACAGCATGCAATGAAGAAATTGCTTAAGCATGCGTTTACCTGAGAGATTATAAAATAGTTGGAAACATCTTTTAGAAAAGTCAACTCTAAGGAGCGCCAGAGTAGGAGGGGAGAGTAGAGGATGAACTCTAAGGAGAGGAGAGGACAGGGGACAGGATAGGGGACAGGAGAGGGGACAGGAGACAGGATAGGGGACAGGATAGGGGACAGGACAGGATAGGGGACAGGAGACAGGATAGGGGAAAGAAAAGAGCCATCAGCAAGAGAGTACAAAGATAACAGAACCTGTATTCATTCTGATAAAAGTATTGACTATGCACATGACCAAAGAGTTCACTATTCAACGGTTTGTTTTCTTTGGAGTTACAGTGCGTTCAGAAAGTATTCATACCCCTTGACTTATTCCAGATTTTGATGCATTACAGCCTGAATTCAAAATTGATTAAAAATAAATAAATAAAATCCCTTACCCATCTACACACACACACACACACACACACACACAATACCCCATAATGACAAAGTGAAAACATGTATTTAGACATTTTTGCTAATTTATTGAAAATGAAATAAATACATCTCATTTACATAAGTATTCACACCAGAGTCAATACTTTGTAGAAGCACCTTTGGCAGCGATTACAGCTGTGAGTCTAAGAGCTTCCCACACCTGAATTGTTCAACATTTAATAATAATAATAATAATAATAATAATAATAATAATAATAATAAGCCATTTAGCAGACGCTTTTATCCAAAGCGACTTACAGTCGTGTGCATACATTTTTTTAAACATATGTGTGGTCCCGGGGATCGAACCCACTACCCTGGCGTTACAAGCGCCATGCTCTACCAATTGAGCTACAGAGGACCATTCTTAATTTCAACATTCTTCAAGCTCTGTCAAATTGGTTGTTGATCATTGCTAGACAACCATTTTTCAGGACTTGCCATAGATTTTCAAGCAGATTTAAGTCAAAACTATAATAATTCGGCCACTCAGGAACAGTCTTCTTGGTAAGCAACTCCAGTGTAGATTTGTCCTTGGGTTTTAGGTCATTATCCTGCTGAAGGGTGAATTAATCTCCCAGTGTCTGGTGGAAAGCAGACGGGACCTGGTTTTCCTCTAGGATTCTGCCTGTGCTTAGCGCCATTATGTTTATTTTTTATCCTGAAAAACTCCCCAGTCCTTAAAGCTTACAAGCATACCCATAACGTGATGCAGCCATCACTATGCTTGAAAATATGTAGAGTGGTACTCAGTAATGTGTTGTATTGGATTTGCCCCAAACATAACACACTGTATTCAGGACAAAAAGTTAATTGCTTTGCCACAATTTTTGCAGTATTACTTTAGTGCAAAAGGATGCATGTTTTGGAATATGTTTTATTCTGTACTGGCTTCCTTCTTTTCACTCTGTCAATTAGGTTAGCATTGTGGAGTAACTACAGTGTTATCACAGCAATTACAAGAGTTAGAGTTTAAAGTCACCATGGTGAAATCCCTGAGCAGTTTCCTTCCTCTCCGGCAACTGAGTTAGGAAGGACACCTGTATCTTTGTAGTGACTGGGTGTATTGATACACCATCCAAAGTGTAATTAATAACTTCACCATGCTCAAAGGGATATTCAATGTCTGCTTTTATTTTTTACCTATCTACCAATAGGTGACCTTCTTTGCGAGGCATTGGACAATCTCCCTGGTCTCTGTGGTTGAATCTGTGTTTAAAATTCACTACTCGACTGAAGGACCTTACAGATAATTGTGTGTGTGGGGTACAGAGATGAGGTAGTCATTAAAACATCATGTTAAACACTATTATTGCACACAGTGAGTCCATGCAACTTATTTTGTGACTTGAGCTAATTTTTACTCCTGAACTTATTTAGGTTTGCCATAACAAAAGGGGTTGAATACATAGACTCAAAACATTTCAGCTTTTACTTAAAAAAAAAAAAAAACACATTTCAAAAAACATAATGCCAATTTCATATTGTGGGGTAGTGTGTGTAGGCCAGTGACAACAAATCTCAATTTAATTAATTTCTTATTCAGGCTGTGACACAACAGAATGTGGAAAAAGTCAAGAGGTATGAATACATTGCATTCGGAAGTATTTAGACCCCTTGACTTTTTCAAAATTTTGATTAAATTGTTTATTTTCCCTCAACTTACACACAATACCCCAAAATGACAAAGCGAAAACAGGTTTTTAGAAATGTTGGCAATTGTATAAATAAATACCTTATTTATTACATAAGTATTCAGACCCTTTGCTATGAGACTCGAAATTGAGCTCAGGTGCATCCTGTTTCCATTGATCATCCTTGAGATGTTTCTACAACTTGATTGAGTCCACCTGTGGTAAGTTAAATTGATTGGACATGATTTGGAAAGGCACACACCTGTCTATATAAGGTCCCACAGTTGACAGTGCATGTCAGAGCAAAAACAAGCCATGAGGTCAGAGGAATTGTCCGTAGGGCTCCGAGACAGGATTGTGTCGAGGCACAGATCTGGGGAAAGGTACCAAAACATTTCTGCAGCATTGAAGGTCCCCAAAAACACAGTGGCCTTAAATGGAAGTCATTTGGAACCACCAAGACTCTTCCTAGAGCTGGCCGCCCGGCCAAACTGAGCAATCGGGGGAGAAGGGCCTTGGTCAGGGAGGTGACCAAGAACCCGATGGTCACTCTGACAGAGCTCCAGAGTTCCTCTGTGGAGATGGGAGAACTTTCCATAAGGACAACCATCTCTGCAGCACTCCACCAATCAGGCCTTTATGGTAGAGCGGCCAGACGGAAGCCATTCCTCAGTAAAAAGGCACATGACAGCCCGCTTGGAGTTTGCCAAAAGGCACCTAAAGGACTTTCAGACCATGAGAAACAAGATTCTCTGGTCAGATGAAACCAAGATTTAACTCTTTGGCCTGAATGCCAAGCGTCACGTCTGGAGGAAACCAGGCACCATCCCTATGGTGAAGCATGGTGGTGTCAGCATCATGCTGTGGGGATGTTTTTCAGTGGCAGGGACTGGGAGACTAGTCAGGATCGAGGGAAAGATGAACGGAGTACAGAGAGATCCTTGATGAAAACCTGCTCCAGAGCGCTCAGGAACACAGACTGGGGTGAAGGTTCACCTTCCAACAGAACAACAACCCTAAGCACACAGCCAAGACAACACAGGAGTGGCTTCGGGACAAGTCTCTGAATGTCCTTGAGTGGCCCAGCCAGAGCCCGGACTTGAACCCGATTGAACATCTCTGAAGAGACCTAAAAATAGCTGTGCAGCGACGCTCCCCATCCACCCTGACAGAGCTTGAGAGGATCTGCAGAGAAACTCCCCAAATACAGGTGTGCCAAGATTGTAGCGTCATACCCAAGAAGACGAGGCTGTAATCGCTGCCCAGTGTTTCCGCTGCACTCGTTTTGCTGTGGTGCTGCGCCACGGCAAAATCATTGCCGCCACGCAACAACAACAAATATGGAAAATGAAAAAATATTTCTGCTGAGGCGCATTTTGAAGATGCTAGAACATTCCACATGTACTTTCTCTGCAAACAAAACGAGTAATAAATAGAAAAATCTGACAACCCCATAGTAGAATAGTTGATCTATTTACCAAGTGGGCTTGTTGTGTTCTATGCTAGATAAATATTCCTCTCGTGGTACATTCATGTTATAAGTACCACAGGGAGGGAAACATGCATTCTGACAAGCAGTCAATGCACAACAATTATTTTAAATCGCAAAAACAGCTGTTTTAATGGCTTTTGCTATAAAAAAAATAAAAAAAAGAGGGGAATCCCAGCTTTCCATTCCTACTTTATTTATTTTTCAACTCCTAAATATGCGGAACCTGCGCCATTTTAAACCCGGGGATTTTGAGCAGAAGCATGGTTAAGCACGTTTATGGAGCAGCAATTTGCAGGGGGTGCATAGGGGAGAGTGGGGCTAAATGTAACACCGGTCAATAGTAGGGTGACTGGGGGGTACAACGCCTCACTACCTCAAAATCATTTATTTGGAATGACTTAAATTGTGATGAGACAAGATCATATTTTTTTGTTGAGCAAGAGTAGTGGAAACCAGGGTAAGTGTTGGGGGAAAAATTGTGACATGAAGTGGTTTCTGTGAGAAGTACAGGCAAGAGGGCTTTTTACCCCATGTTACCCTAACAGGTAGGCCTACATTATATTCAGTGTTTATGCAAGTTTTTTGGGACATAAAATTAATCAATGATAATAACTAGTTAAAAGATCACATTTGAGATCTGGCTAATGATTAGCCCAATAGGGTAAATGCAGATACAGTGGGGAGAACAAGTATTTGATACACTGCCGATTTTGCAGGTTTTCCTACTTACAAAGCATGTAGAGGTCTGTAATTTTTATCATAGGTACACTTCAACTGTGAGAGACGGAATCTAAAACAAAAATCCAGAAAATCACATTATATGATTTTTAAGTAATTAATTTGCATTTTATTGCATGACATAAGTATTTGATCACCTATGCAGATAGGCAACCCCATGCTTCAGACTATATGCACTTTGCTGCATCAGTTGGGCTAAAGGTGATCATGTTTATTACTAATAGCATTCCTGATAATATGGACCATGAATAGGCTATATTCTGTACATGGCCCAATATGTTAAAATAAATGTTAACAAATAATTTTACCAATGTGTTATTGGGCTAATTTCTGGAGGTGGAAATTGTATTTTAGAGTAGAATGTCCTTTTAAAAAGTCACCAGAACTGAGCTCCCCCCCCCCCCCCCCCAGAGGAAACACTGTCGCTGCCAAAAGTGCTTCAACAAAGTACTGAGTAAAGGGTCTGAATACTTACGTAAATGTGAGTTCAGTTTTTATTGTATTTTGTAGTTGCAAAAATGTATAAAAACCCTATTTTGGTTTGGTCATTATCTGGTAGTGTGTAGATTGATGAGGGGAATTAATCCATTTTAGTATAACCTGTAACGTAACAAAATGTGGAAAAAGTCAAGTGGTCCGAATACTTTCTGAAGGCACTGTACATGTCAGAAGGCATAACGACACCACACACTACTACAGCATATCTCTCCTGATGTCAGACTTACCATTCTCACCAGCCCCTTGAGAAAACAACGTCCAGTTGGAAATCAGTCCATAACGCTGTATGAAACTCGTGTAGGGAATTCTGCATTGAGAAACAAAACAAAGAAATGGAAAGGGGCAGTATAAATCAAGAGGACATTTTGTTCAGTACAACCCCTATTGTGTTTTAAAAAAGGCTTTGTGTTATAGGGTCAGTGGTACTGATTGACATTTACATTTTAGTCATTTAGCAGACGCTCTTATCCAGAGCGACTTGCAGGAGCAATTAGGGTTAAGTGCCTTGCTCAAGGGCACATCGGCAGATTTTTTCACCTAGTCGGCTCAGGGATTAGAACCAGCGACCTTTCGGTTACTGGCACAACGCTCTTAACCACTAAGCTACCTGCCGCCCTACTGATGAGTTGTTGTGTAGTTGTGCAGAGGTTCCTAGGTTCAAGCCCAGTTCAGGTAAGGGATCTGCTCTCTATAGTGTTGCAAAAAAAAAAAATAATCTGGTAACTTCCCCCAAAATCCAGAAAACCAGGTTGGAAGATCCCTGGACTTAAGAGGGAATAAGCAAGAAATCCGAAATCCTCCGACCAGGATTTCTGGATTACCTTGGAAAGTTACCAGAATTTTGCGGCCATAATTACATTTTAGTCATTTAGCAGACGCTCTTATCCAGAGCACCTTACAGTCGCCTTACCTTATTGGAAAGCCTGCTGCGCTGATGTTTATGGTCTCCACAATCCCACAGGCCTCCAGTTGCATAATGACCTAACGATGAGTCAAAAACAGCTTTATAAGACAATTGTATAACATAAAATTATTAAATGAACATACGATTTTGCCTAGTGACCAATATCTGAGTCATCAATTGCACATTTCATTTTTTCGAATGTCACGTTTTGTGTTCCAAGAAGATAAAAAGACATCTACTGAACAAAGACGTAGTGATGATTCATGCGTTTCCATGGTTTGTTACCAAGTCAAAGCAGTCGCTTTCTCCTACCTCCTCCTTTACGAAGGTGAGCGGCCTGCAGTCAGTGTTGGGTTTGATGCAGCGGGTGTAGTGAGGAGTGGTGCTGTGTAGAATCTTCATCAGGCTCTCCAGAGAGTTCTATAGGGAGACAATATACCATCCATGAAATATGGAACAAAGAGGCTCTGAGGAATTCCGGAACAAAGTGAATACCACAGAACCAGATCAACGCTACAAACAGAAGGAATCCTAACGTCTAGGATTTTGTGCCTCACCTTGAACTTGGAGACCACAGTGACCACTTGTCTGAGTCCCCTGGTGCCTTGGTCCGCTGGGTCTCTGTCAGCAAACAGCTGGTGAAGCAGAGGGTTCTCAGACTTCTGTAGCAGGTGGATGAGCTCTGGGGGCACTGGGTCCTATAGAGGGAGAAAGGTGCATATTTAACATTGACATTTTAGTCATTTAGCAGACGCTCTTATCCAGAGCGACTTACAGTTAAGTGAGTGCATACATTTTCAAATAGTGTTAGTGGAGAGAAAAAATTAAGTATTCTCATGAAATTAAGTCTTGCAATGTCCTTTGGCTATGAAGTACAGTGTTTTCGTAAAAGTATTCAGAACCTCATTTTTTTCCACATGTAAATGGGATTTCCGTTTTTTTATTTTTAATACATTTGCTAAAAAAAAAATCTAAAAACCTGTTTTTGCTTTGTCATTATGGTTTTATGTGTGTAGATTGATGAGGGGGGGGGGGGGGCAAACAATGTGTCTGAAGGGATCTGAATACTTTCCGAATGCACAGTATGTTTGGTGTTAATTAAGTCTTCTCATGAAATTAAGTCTTGCAACGTCCTTTGGCTATGAAGTATGTAGGGCTAGCATCTTTCACAGACTTCCATAGTGCATATACAGTAGTGTTTGAATGGACCAAACGGGTCACAGTAATCCATTATAGTTGGCGGCACAGGTGGGTCTTGTAATCCAAAAATAGTATTTTTGCCATCAGCTATGAATGGTTAGCAGCACCTTCCACAGCACTGTTCCAACGAACCTTGTTCTTCTCCATCATGCCTTCTATCTGGTAGGAGACTTTGCCAGCGTAGTGAGCCACGGTGAAGTGGGGCAGCTTGCCGAACTTGTCCCAGCTCATACTGCTGTTGTCGGACAGCTCCTTCTCCAAGCGAACCCTGAACTGCTTGGCGTCGGAGGCTCGGTTGAGAAGGCATTCCTGAATGGGTGGATGGGTTAACGGACAAAGACATGTGAGTAAAGTAAACAACCAAAAGAACTTGATATATTTTTCTGGACAAAAATTACTTTATAAAAAAGGTAGAACTAATAACAGTATTCTAGAGCGGCGGTTTCCCAACTCCGGTCCTCCAGTATTCCCCAACAGTACATATATTTGTTGCGGCCCCAGGACAAGCACACCTGGATTCTACTTGACAACTAATCATCAAGCCCACGACAAGTTGAATCAGGTGTTGTCCGGGGGCTATAACATAAAATGTGTGCTGTTGGCGAATACTGGAGGACGGGAGTTGGGATCCACTGTTCTAGGAGGTTCCACTGATGTACACACCTCATTGAGGAGAGAGAACACTCCAGTGGGGTTGCCCTCCAACAGATCCAGACAGCCCTGGTTGTCCTGGTATTTAACGAACGACCACTCCAATCCCTCGGAGACGTACTCCTCCTAAGGGTGAGAGGCTTCACTGTTGAGCACTAGATAACTAAAGACAACATTCTCTTATGCTACAAAAAAAGTGTTCCACACCCTCGAGGCAAATTCCGAATTGGAACATCCAGTTCTTCCACGTTCTATTTCCACACTCTACTAAACAGGTTAACACTCTGAGACCGGAGCCTATAGCCCTACAGCCAGCAAAACAACTCTGGACCTCGAAGCCAGTCCCCCCCCCCATTGTTCAATTAATTAATCTGGTAGAACAGAAAAAGCAGCAGGCTCCGGACCCTCTAGGGGTCAGAGTTGAATACCCCTGCTGTAGAGGCTAAACTAGAAAAAAAAAAAAAAAAAGACATTTCACTAGGTCAACGTGGAAAAGGTTAATTTAGCCTAACGGCTACCTGTTGGGCTCTGAGATAGTGGGCTACAAAGTGCTGCTGCAGTTTCTCGTTGGCGTAGTTGATGCACAGCTGTTCCAGGTTGTTCAACTGAAAGCACTCAAAACCATAAACATCCAGCAGACCTGGAGACGAAGAAGAACTATAATAATAAATGCAGGCACTTTATCGAAAGCGGTTACGTGTGCATACATTTTCTTTACATATGGGAGGACCCGGGAATCGAACCCACTACCCTGGTGTTATTACAAAGGAAAGATATCCAAAAGAACAGGTTCGGCTTTAGCCTGAGAGACAAGTTAACACCAAGGATTCATGTTTAATTAGTAATATGGGAGAGATTAAGCAATAGAAAATAACTTATTTACCTATGAAGTTGCACCAGGTGGAATTGTCTGCACATATACTATCGTTGATGAATGTAACCAACCATTCAAATAATCTGTTTGGAAAAATTGAAAAAAAACATTCAGTACACAATGTCTGATTCCTTTGTAGTTACAGTACACATTAAAAGGGTGTGATATTTTCAGAATGGAGTTGATGAGGGAAAGGACAGGTAATCTTTCATCACAACAGACAAGAGCTGGACCTCAGCCCAAATGCATGCTTTCTAATAAGTATTCACTCTCCGAATCTGCTTTAGGAAAAAATAAAGTGATTGAAAAATCACAACCTGGTTCAGATCTGAACATTTGACAGATTTTTACATAGGAGTGATTATAAAAGAGGTTATGAAGGAAATGTGTCCTCTCTGTTAGTCTGACTCACTGTGCGTAGATGACCTTGGCGAGGCAATCCCTCCTGACGCTGCAGTCTGCCAGGGAGCAGGGCTTGAAGAGAGCACTCTGCTTCCCTGCCCTCAGGGTCCTTACCCTGAGACATGTCTGAAGCTCATCCACCGGGACACACAGCAACGCTGCACAACGCTGCACAAAGACTATAGGATAGACAGCAGGGCTCATGTAAAACGGTCTTCAGATTTGATTGATTGATTAATTGATTGTTCAGACCACGTTGGAGCTGAACTGATGTCTAAAACACGAGGGTGGAAGGTTGAGAAAGGAGTCAGACCACAGTTTAAATTGAATTTAACCGAATTGAAGTCTAAGACACCAGAATGGAAAGTTGATCTAGTGTAATATCAGATGAAATACCTTTGGATTGCTTCTCGAGGTCACAAGGTTGTGATTCATCCATGGCAGAACAGAAAGTCACGTTCCCCAACTGAAGAAGACCTGCTAGTATCTGTTAAGACAGGGAGTTGTGGTAGAAATATATTTGTGGAGTGATTATGTGGAGAAAGTACAGAATCATCTTCAGAATCATTTTAGGTGATTTAATGTATATCATTATACCCTAAATATATGTCCCTGCTTCTCGGCATTGATGCCCAGGTGTACCATAGCATCTACAGTCTCATCAAAACAATCCTCTGCAAAACAAGACAAAGAAGCAAAGAAGAAGTAGACAAAGAAGCGAAGAAGAGAAGAGTAAAATCAGTAACTGGGAACACTGACCTGAATAGAATATATATTTTACATACATGGTACCTTTACATTCATTACATGCAACCGATTAGAAGCTATTGTTTTTCAATCTACTGGCTGGGGGATGAGGACACAACAAGCGTACCTTCCAATGTCTTGTCAGCATTTGGAAGCCAGACAAAACGTTGGTCATGAGGCATCTTCCAGTCCCTCCTCTGCTCATCGCTGCCTCCTGCCATCATCTGAAAAGAATAGAATTTCAATATATCAGACACTAAATGTATTGACATGTACTGAGGCCAGGCACACACACACACGATATTACTTCATTTACAATTAAACTACAGTTAATTAACATTAACTTAGAATTAATCTTTGTAGTCAAGAGTGTGCCTTTAACTTGCCTGGTAGAATATGTGGAAGTTTCTCTCATTAGCTGGTTGTCCAGCCACCCTGGTCTTCTCCAGTAGGTATGTTTGTACTGACGCCCCCACCAGCAGCTGAGACCTGGTCAAATTTACATTTGACATTTTACATTTGAGTCATTTAGCAGACGCTCTTATCCCGAGCGACTTACAGTTAGTGAATGCATACATTATTTTTAATTTTTTATACTGGCCCCCCGTGGGAATCGAACCCACAACCCTGGCGTTGCAAACGCCATGCTCTACCAACTGAGCTACATCCCTGCCGGCCATTCCCTCCCCTACCCTGGACGACCCTGGGCCAATTGTGCGCCGCCCCATGGGTCTCCCGGTCGCGGCCGGCTACGACAGAGCCTGGATTCGAACCAGGATCTCTAGTGGCACAGCTAGCGCTGCGATGACAAAGACATTTGTTTGAACAGGGCGCTGGTTGTGTCGTCAGCACAAAAACTACCCTTTCAGTTAGCTTATTCCGTTCTCATTTCTCGTCAACTTATTTATTAGGTGTCTGCAGTGATCTAGTCTGGTCCCAGATCTGTTTGTGCCATCTTGTCAACTATTATTGGTCATTGTCATCAATGACCGCTTGACTAAACAGGAATGATCTAGGATCAGCTACAAAAAAAAAGAAACACAACCAGACATACCGGTTCAGCTGGAGCTGGATGTACTTTCCAAAGCGGCTGCTGTTGCTGTTCCGTAAGGTGCAGGAGTTGCCTATATAAAACAGGGGCCCAGTAAATAAACAAAGCATGGAATCAGCACGTGTCCACTATAGCAACAACAACCATCACGTCAACAGGACACGTCACTGAACCACACTGACTAGATGGTTACAGACACCTTGATCCCAATATTGTCTGAATTGTTGATGATTGCGTTACTGTCCCGGTTAAAGTTTATATTAAAAAAACTAAAATAGTTTCCAGTCTCACCAAAAGCCTCCATGACGGGGTTGGAGTCCAGTACCCTCTTCTCTATCCTCTCCACGGTTTCCTGCCTCTTCAGCAGAGAGGAAGAGGCTGCCACCGTGGCATAGTACTTCATGAGGCAACGAGAGGTCCATGTCTGGTAAAGAATAAAAGAGACAGTGGTTTGAAATTATTCAGGGTCACTTTAAAACATTCTAAACATATGTTAAACTTCCACTATTAACACTTCACAGTAATAAAGGACCAAAAAAAAAGACCCACAAAGCTGAATGATAATGGACAATGAATTTGGAATGCTTTGTTGCTTTTTGTAATCAGTGAGGCAGTAGAATATTATACATTTCTATCCACCATTGTTGATTGTTAATAAAGTTTACCTTTCCTGCTCCGCTCTCTCCACTGACCACCAGAGACTGGTTAACGGGCTCCACCTGGCCCTGTACGTTCCTGTAGGCTTCCTCCGCCACTATGAAGATGTGGGGTTTGGACTCCTGGACAGACAAATAAAAATATTAGAGACGTTTGTTGAATGCATGAAATGGACTCCTTTCTGTTTGGCATTGACCCATCCCTATGTTGTTTAAACTATTAAACATTAAATTTACCCAACAGACTTTGTTTAAGGTGTGAAGAGTCATGTTACAGGAACTTGGCACTGCTAAAATGAAATATAGTAGTCGGTGTTTGTAGATATAACATTGTATAAACATTAACCAAAAAGGCCATGGTAATGCCTCTGATAAAGAGGCTAATGGTTGTCCAATACCTGTGGCTGTGGGGCACAATGGTACTCCTTCATCACATCCAGGGAGTAGAGGTCAGGGACGGGCTGGAAAGGGTTGAGGGCCACCAGGGTGCAGCCTGCATGGGTGTAGAAAACCTTAGCGCTGTACCTGGCCTGTAGGCATTTCAGCACTGCCACAGAAAACACACAGGGATTACACATTCATTAACAGGAAAAACAGAAAGCCTAAACGAGTACCTATATTAACATGTTCAAAAAGGAACCATCATTTAAGTCCCTAGGAAATGTCAGTTCCATTTCCAACGCAAAACAAGCTTGACCGCTGCTGAGCCATGTCTGGACCCTCTCCAACAAGAGGTAGGCTTTGGGCCTCTCTACCTGTTGTTGGGGTCACGGGGTTGACTTTGGTGAGGTCATCATAAGTGTGCAGCTGGCCCTCGTCTATGAGGAAGGCCTTGACCTCTCCCTCCAGTGAGTCATTCAGAGACTTCCTGTGAGCATGTCCAGACTTCTTCCCGACTCCCCCTTTCACCTGTAGTAACCCAAAGGGAAAGGGAGGAACAGGGTTAAAACCAGTGGCCTGTATTATTCCACAGAAACGCAGGCCTGTATCATAACAAAGGGCGTTAGCATTAAGTGAGGGCATTGTGCTGAGATTAATCTAATAAGACTGAACAATTACCACTGAACACATTTTACAAAAACACATTAACTTGAAGAACAGTGCAGATGCAAAGTTTGGTAACAGAATGACTGTTTGTTCTGTCATTCTGTTACCAAACTTTGCATCCGCAATGTTCTAGAAGTAAATGTGTTTTTGTAAAAATGTTCAGTGGTAATTGTTAAGAGTAGTACTTGTGCATAGAGTTGTATGGTTTGTTTAACTTCGCAATCATTAGTTCGTGTTTGACATACAACATACATTTTAAAGTGAAAAATCTGAGTTTCAGCATCACTCTGTTACTGCATACACAATTCAAAAAAAGATAACCACATATATGTTCAATTAAAAAAGTTTAGAGCGCAAACAACAACACCACCATCCAGCAGACAGGCCTACCATGACAAAGACAAAACTGACCGGCCTACCATGACAAAGACAAAACTGACCGGCCTACCATGACAAAGACAAAACTGACCGGCCTACCATGACAAAGACAAAACTGACCGGCCTACCATGACAAAGACTAAAACTGACCGGCCTACCATGACAAAGACTAAACTGACCGGCCTACCATGACAAAGACAAAACTGACCGGCCTACCATGACAAAGACAAAACTGACCGGCCTACCATGACAAAGACAAAACTGACCGGCCTACCATGACAAAGACTAAACTGACCGGCCTACCATGACAAAGACAAAACTGACCGGCCTACCATGACAAAAACTGACCGGCCTACCATGACAAAGACAAAACTGACCGGCCTACCATGACAAAGACAAACCGCACCACAGCTTCTGTCAGGTGACCACAAAGACAGTTGTAGGTTTACACTCGACAAAATAAACGTTTAATCTCCAGCTACCTTGCTTATCCTCAGTGTCTAGTTAGTGTGTTCTCTATACATCTTTATCGGATTGGTTAAATCCACCCCAATGCTTCAAATGGTGCGCAGTTAAATATAAAGTCTGGCAACAGATGTATGCAAAATGTCATGCAATGTGTGTGCAGAGGCTTCTTTTTCTTTCTAAAATGTACATACCATCAGCACTGTCATGATACAATTGTCTTACCTTATCATAACAAAACAACCATGTATCTATTTACTCCCCTATTTGTGTTTTTCTTTGTGGTATGAGACTTTGTAAACAAATTGTGTGTAGCTTCAAATCATGTCTTAAAAAAGTTATGTTGCTCTCATGAAATGTTTGGCCTCTTCCTTCAGCATAATAACAGTATGAGGCCGTAATGGGGTGCATTTTGCTCCATTGTCAATGTTTAAATGTTTGTATTCAATTGATTGTAACAAGTTTTGATTGCATGTCGCCAATTTAAAATTGTCAGTAAGGTTGAAAATAACCGTCTTGGAGATCTTTCAAAAGGCTGAATGAAGACAACTCTAGATGATCGAATTTGGTAAATTCTATGAAACTGTGAGGAGATTCATGACAGTTACAGATTAACTGATGCATATCAGCATAGATGTGCTACACAGGTGTGGCAACAGCTGGGCAAAATGTTATTGTTCTAGACTAGGGTCCGGTCACCCCCCCTCCCCTCTGCTGAACAAGCTCCTTTATTCAGAACATTATCAATGCAAGATAACGCCGACTTTAGTTAATAATACATTGACGTCGATTCATTGAGAGATTTGGAATTCATTAAAACACTTTCTATACCACTAACTACCAAAGTGCTCAAAAGGCCCACTGTTTTCGCCTACCTTTCCCCCATGTCCATTTCCTATGCGCTGACTATTCTCAGAATTCATGGATTTGGAACTTGTCCCGCCGCCCTTGCGAAGTAGAACAAGCGATGCTGCTGTCAAGGAGTTTGTTCTTGACACCAGGCAAAAACGCTATAAAGGACAGTGAATCAGACTAATATATATAGTTTAGACGTGTAGGATCCATAGTCTGTCTCACTGTTCCGCCGCCATTTCACATGGAATGTGAAGCTTCCCCTCTGTCATAAAATTCCACAGTGAAGGACAAAAGCACTTTCCCCGCCTCGTTTTACACACTTGGGCTGTTGAAACTTGAGAGAAACGTAATTGGCTACAACCTAGTACGCGTCCTCCTTGTCACATAGACACAGAAACGCCCAACTGCAGAACGCGGAAATAACAATACACCCGCCTGCGGTAGCTTTTTAAATACATTCATCGAGGATGTGGGCTACATTTTCTCTGATTAATCTAGGATGATTCATGTATTATCAACGTATATTTGTTTTGAACCACGCTAGCTACCGAAGGAAAGTGCGGTAGGTGAAAAATAATGAAGTCTGTCTGTGTATGATGTTAGCGCTAAATGCTGGCTAGCCAGACTTGTCGCTGAATGTCTCTAGACTTGTTTCATTGAGGCATCAATGATTTTCAATCTTGTTATCACATTTTGTAATGAAATAATTAGTTGGTTGGTTGGCATACAAGTAAACATATATGCTTGTACTTCAGCTGCTTGTACTTAAGGTAGCTGCTTAGCTAGCTCCTTATGGAAAAGTCTCAACGGATCCTTGGGGAAAAAAACTTGGTAAAATCATGACGTCAGTGATCATTAGGTCGGAAAGTCGGAACTCCAGAAAGGCCCGAGTTTCCGACGTTGGATGACCCGTTCAAAAGATTTTAACCAATCCACGCTCGTTTTTTTCTCCGATTTCCCAGTTGTCTTAAACGCACTGAAGTTAAGTCGGAGATTTCCAAGTTCCCAGTTGATTTGAACGCGGCATCAAAGGTAGACTCAGCGGTATGGCGTAATATGACGTAGGTGCACAAAGTAAACAGCATAGTGGGTCAATTTCCCCAACAACTACATTTCGAACTTGCAACTTGTGTATTCTACTTGCGTTGAAGCGCAAGGGTAAACTTCTATTGAAGTTAAAAACAGCTGTTTTGGTCCCATACCTACCAAGCATAAGCGTGAATGGTAAAATTGTTGTATGTGCCATTATAGCTTCTGTGGCAGCGCTATTGACCCTATCTCCATTGGAAGTAGTCCATTTTCTTCTTTACAATTGGCTGATCCCTCCTGATGACCCGGTTGGACATTACTCCCAACAGTCACCAGGCGGGATCAGCCAATGAAGTTGGAAGTCCGACCAAGTTGACTACATTAAAATGGTGGAAGCCGTCTTCTTCTTGTTTGATGAGGTTTAATGCGGTTGGCTTCCAATAATTGTTGCATTACCGCCACCTACTAGAATGGAGTAGAACACCCTTATACTTTGCTTGAAAAAAATAATAAAAAATACCCTACCATCTATCGCTACACGCACAAAAAAAATATCATACTCCACTATTTAAATCTATTTAGTCCTACTTCAGGCCAACAGCCTGAAATTATGGGTCACCGCCACTTATCACACCCTGTAACTCTGCTGACGTCAAATCTCGCACACCCAAATACCTCTCTGCAGATGCCACCACAACCTCTAATTTCTGTGACTTACGGTCCATCCCTGCAGTACAGTTGATAACCATTGCTATAAATGGCTAAAATCCAATCTTACTGAAACATATATCCCTTGTTGGTTTATCCCTCTGTACTGGTACAGATCTACTACTCACACCACTCCTCTCAGGATCCCTCCCCCTTAACATATCTTCATCTACTTTCTTAATTGCCTCAGCATATGACAACTTCTGCGCTACTCTAACCCTGGAAACCTCAACCTGCCTCTCTCGCACGGGACATTTCTGATCCCCAGCCCCCATGGGCACCCCTACAATTAACACATACCACTACTTTCCCCAATGCTACACATTCCTTTGTCTCATGCCCTTCTGCACACTTCTCACACCTCCCTCTTACACACTGTTGCCACATGCCCATAAGCTTGACACCTGTAACAATGTAATGTATTCGGCACAAAAGCTCGTACAGGATAACTTGTATATCCTAACATCACTTTGTCGGGCAAAGACTCAACATCAAAACTCAAAAGAACAGACAATGACTCTTCTGTTTCTCCACTCACATCAGCCTGTCTGCGTCACACCAAACGACGAGCATCACAAACACCGGGAATCTTCCCCTTCAGCTGGTCAGCTTTCACATTTACCACTACCCCAGTAATCACTCCTTTCACTGGCGCCCTTTTCTTGAGAGCAAAACAATTCACATCTCTTGCCCCCATTAGTTTAACACGGCACAAACAATTATCACAAGACCACTTCTGGTTACCCTCACCGATTCCACAGCACCCAAATCTGTTTTCACCCACCCTGAAACCACAAATGGATCAGCCAAATGGTAAGGGTCCACTTTTTACAAAAACGTCACTCCTTCTGTCACAGACTGATCTTCATCCTGACCCTCGGTGCAAGCCTCGGGCTCCGAGAACTTCACCACACCTACCACCTCTGATACTTCCCCCTCATTCACTTCCATTTCTCCTCCTGTCTTCAACTCACTCTGCTTACACTTTCTACCATTCTTCTTTAACAAACCATCTCCCTTTTTTTCCCCGCCATTTTTAACCGACTCAAGCTCACCCTCTTCCTCCCCTCTCTCTCTTAGACCTCCTCTGCCTCTCTTTTTCCCCTTGAGTCTAGTTTGGTATTACGCTACAAGCTTGGCACACGTGTATTTGGGGAGTTTCTCCCATTCTTCTCCGCAAATCCTCTCAAGCTCTGTCAGGTTGGATGGGGAGCGTCACTGCACAGCTATTTTCAGGTCTCTCCAGAGATGTTCAATCGGGTTCAAGTCCGGGCTCTGGCTGGGCCACTCAAGGACATTCAGAGACTTGTCCCGAAGCCACTCCTGCGTTGTCTTGGCTGTGTGCTTAGGGTTGTTGTCCTGTTGGAAGGTCCTGAGCGCTCTGGAGCAGGTTTTCATCAAGGATCTCTGTACTTTTCTCCGTTCATCTTTCCCTCAATCCTGACTAGTCTCCTAGTCCCTGACGCTGAAAAATATCCCCACAGCATGATGCTGCCACCACCATGCTTCACCGTAGGGATGGTGCCAGGTTTCCTCCAGACGTGACACTTGGCATTCAGGCCAAAGAGTTCAATCTTGGTTTCATCAGATGGTCTGAGAGTCTTTAGGTGCCTTTTGGCAAACTCCAAGCGGGCTGTCATGTGCCTTTTACTGAGGAGTGGCTTCCATCTGGCCACTCTACCATAAAGGCCTGATTGGTGGAGTGCTGCAGAGATGGTTGTCCTTCTGGAAGGTTCTCCCATCTCCACAGAGGAACTCTGGAGCTCTGTCAGAGTGACCATCGGGTTCTTGGTCACCTCCCTGACCAAGGCCCTTCTCCCCCGATTGCTCAGTTTGGCCGGGCGGCCAGCTCTAGGAAGAGTCTTGGTGGTTCCAAACTTCTTCCATTTAAGAATGATGGAGGCCAGTGTGTTCTTGGGGACCTTCAAAGCTGCAGAAATGTTTTGGTGCCCTTCTCCAGATCTGTGCCTCGACACAATCCTGTCTCGGAGCTCAACGGACAATTCCTTCGACCTCATGGCTTGGTTTTTGCTCTGACATGCACTGTCAACTGTGGGACCTTATATAGACAGGTGTGTGCCTTTTTCCAAATCATGTCCAATCAATTGAATTTACCTCAGGTGGAGTCCAATCAAGTTGTAGAAACATTTTTAAGGTTAATCAATGGAAACAGGATGCACCTGAGCTCAATTTCAAGTCTCATAGCAAAGGGTCTGAATACTAATGTAAATAAGTTATTTCTGGTTTTTTATATTTCATAAATTTGCAACAAAAAAACTGTTTTCGCCTTGTCATTATGGGGTGTTGTGTGTAGATTGAGGATTTTTTTTCTCGCATTTATTCCATTTTAGAATAAGGCTGTAACGTAAGAAAATGTGGAAGTCAAGGGGTCTGAATACTTTCCGAATGCACTGTACATCTTGTTCTTGCCTTGTCAAGGGACGCCATTTAACCGGCCATCACAATCCACCCAGTCCGTTCGGTGGAAGCCCTCAATGGCGCTGCCCATGGTAATACAGACTTTTGGCCACTAGCCTCTATCACTAGCCTCTATCACTAGCCTCTATCACTAGACTCTATCACTAGACTCTATCATTTGAGTTCAATCGCTTTTTGACGAAACCTTCCATACATATTTTCCCATGGAAGAATGGTCAGAAAGTGACTTTTTGGACCTGAATGCCAAAACATTCAAGAGATAAAGGTGCTCAACGTTTGCCCATTTTGTATACCCCACCATTACATTTTAGTCACCCTTATCCAGAGTGACTTACAGGAGCAATTAGGGTTAAATGCCTTGCTCAAGGGCACAACAACATTATTATTATTTTTTTACATTATAAAATAATTTGAAAACCCTGTTTGTAAGCTTTAAACAATATCTCAACTGTTGATCTTCTTCAGTGATGAAGACATGAATGTCTCATGGTAGGGTGGGGAATGCAAAATGGGTAAACTTTGAGCACCTTTATCTCTTGAATGTTTTGGCATTCAGGTCTAAAAAGCCACTTTCTGAGCGCTTCTACAATGGGCAAATATGTATGGAAGGTTTTGTTCAAATCTGAAGGGGTGCTGTCAAAAAGTGATGGAATTCAAATGGATTTACCCTGAAGCGAACCCATGCACATGCGCAGACACTGTGTGTAACTGTGTGAGAGCGAAGTCATGCATCTCGCTCACCGCAATATCTGCAGTGCTGCTAGTGGCAATGTTATTTCGCTGAGTTTAACTTTAAGGGTTAGGGTAGGGTTTTTTGCATGACTCCCGAGTGGCGCAGTGGTCTAAGGCTGTGCCACTAGAGATCCTGGTTCGAGTCCAGGCTCTGTCGCAGCCGGCCGCGACCGGGAGACCCATGGGCGGCGCACAATTGGTCCAGCGTCGTCCAAGGTAGGGGAGGGTTTGGCCAGTATGAAAAAAACAAAACATGTATGCATTCACTAACTGTAAGTCGCTCTGGATAAGAGCGTCTGCTAAATGACAAAAATGTTTATGGGTTAGGGCAGGGATCATCAACTAGATTCAGTCGCGGACTGTTTTTTTTTTTTTTTTGAGCGGATGGTCAGGGGGCCGGAACATAATTGCAAATCATTTGTAGACTAAAAATGTACCCCAAGAAGCCCAAACAGATATATTTGACTAAAACATAATAATTTCAAACCTTGCTTACATTTGTATACAATCACGTACAGTATATCTCGCTATTATGCGTGGGAATACTTTGGAACAGATTTCCAAAATTAAAATCACTTGGAGCTGATTTGCTGATGTTTTTAGTCTTTTTTTTATGTCCAACAATTTTTTTTCTTGCTCAGAAAACTTGGGTGTCAAATAAAATCAAATGCGGCCCAAATTCGGCCCGCAGGCTGCCAGTTGGGGAACCCTGGGTTAGGGTAATGGTAGGGATGTCCTTATGATGATTTTTATTTTCCTCCTTTTGTAGGAAATGTCAAGTCCGAGGGAATTGAAGGAGGCGTTCGTCAGCAATCTGAATGGGACCAGCCTTGGGGAAGTTGCCCTGGGCTCCTTTCTGGCCCCGCTGTGTCTGATCAGCAGAGGACTGGTTCTGATTCTATACCATCTGGGCAAGGGGGTGCTCCCCCTCCCCTGGATCGCCCACTTCGTCCTGGACTTCTCCATGATCATACTACCACTGGTCTTATCGTGCACCGTTCTGAGTGACATCCTTCACCTAGTCATCCTGGGCCTGGCGGTTGTGTGTGGGGCTGTGCTATGCTATATCTACCGTACCAAAAGGACAACCGCTGTCAAGAGCTTCTTCCAGAGCCGTGTTCAGTGCGACCAGGTCCCCTTTGTGACTATCTTTCGAGTCCTGGTCAATGTGAAAACGGCCATAAGCATTCTAGCTGTCGACTTCAGCGTGTTCCCCAGACGCTATGCGAAAACGGAAACCTACGGAACAGGGGTTATGGACTTTGGTGTCGGAGCATATGTCCTCGCTAACGCCCTCGTCTGCCCAGAGGCACGGAGGAAGGAAGTCTCAGGATCCAAGTTAAGCCAAGTGGTAAAACAGTTCGTGTCTGTCTGGCCCTTGGTCATTCTAGGCTTGGCCAGGCTGGTGAGCGTCAAAATGTCTGGTTACCACGAGCACGTGTCAGAGTATGGTGTGCACTGGAACTTCTTCTTCACCCTAGCCATAGTCAGAGTAGGGGCTTCTGTTCTCTTGGCTCTGTTCCCTGTCAACAGGTCATGGCTCCTGGCTCTTCTGATTGGAGGGCTTTACCAAGTGACCCTGGAGATGTCTGGGCTGAAGTATTCCATCATCCACAACGATGACAGGACAGGAGGATTTCTGCAAGCCAACAAGGAGGGGGTTTCATCTGTTGTGGGCTACATAGCCATCTACATGGCAGGGGTCCAGATTGGACTGTACATAATGCGACCAAGGACACAGGTCAAAGAGTGGATCAGAGTGATTTGGAATCTCTTGTTGGTTAGTGCTGTACTGTATACTACCTTGGTCCTATGTCAGGCCTCTGTTGAGCGAGTGTCTCGCAGGATGGCCAATCTACCATTCTGCCTCTGGACCATTGCCCAGTCAATGTTTTTCTTGTCCTGTTTAGCAACTGCTGATGTTATTTTGGTTTTTATGAAAACGGTATCAGGTTGTTCATTGGTGTCCTCTTCCTGGTATCCTTGTAGAAAGGAAGCTTCTGCATCTGAGGAGAAAATGGAGAAGAAAGTTGAGGGACTTTGTCTCATTCAAGCTGTGAACCGTAATCAGTTGTTGTTTTTCATGCTTGCCAATTTACTGACTGGAATCACAAATGTGCTAGTAGATACATTCAACAGTAGTGATTACATTTCTGTGTGTGTTTTGCTGTCATACATGTTCATAAATAGTTTTGCGATGTACATTTTACATCTCATGAAAATCACAGTAAAATTCTGGTAAGCACAGTGCTGTTCTCTTTACAATGACTGACCTCTTCTTATTTTAGCAGTCATAAAGACTTATTCAAATAAATTGGAGTGTTTCTTGTTGTTACATTGTTTTCCATATTATAGTTGGTGTTAAAGGTCCCAAACAGTCATTCTGATTCCCATGTAAAATTGCCTTTTAAGTAACTAAAATATCACCCATTATATTTTTCTTGGTTAGATTTTTGTTGTTGTTGAAAAAGTACTTTTTTTCTCATGGCTACCTACCAGGAAGTTTGAAAAGACAGGCTGAGCCGGTGGGGATCTTATATTTATGAGCTCGCCTTGACAGACAGCTCTTTTGAAACGCCTATTTCATGAATTGTGGATTCAGTGTTGCAGCAAAATCATCTGAAGCAAATTTGGTAATACACAAAGCAACTCAAACATCAGTAACCACGTTTCCATCCAGTTTTTATGTGAGTAAAGTCATACCGTATTAAAAAATAAATAATCATGACAGCTGTGATGAAAACTGGTAGTTTTAGTACAATTGTATAAACGCAGACAGAATGTGTTCGTTTGACATGGTGGGATCTTTTTGTGTCTGTAAAATTAATTATGCGAGAAATGGTGGTGGAAACGCCTTTATGCGCAAAAATATCGAAGTAAACTTGAAAGTGCAAGGTGATGAGCTTGATGCTCCTTTCCAATTAATATCGAGGGTCTTATTCTGGTGACATGATGATCGATGCTTGACTACCGTTTGACAAATAAAAATAATCTCACTCTTTTGTCCATATCTGCGAGCTGTTGGCTAGAGCGCACGTGCCAAGACCAGAGTGGGCACAATCGCTATTTACAGTAGCGATGGAAACCCATTTAACTATTTTATTTTTTTATTCGGTACATGGGAATTTAACCGCAAAAGTAATTTGTATGTGCACTACGTCATCACGCACAGACTTTTATCTGCAACAAGTACATTTTATGGAACATTTGGTGGGGAAATGCGTTTTGGCACCAGTACAGTAGCTATCTAGCTATATAAACCACGCCCCTCTGCAAACACGCCTTCTCCGATGTTGGTTACAAGGCAGTACTTATTTAAATTTGGTTAGAGAATATCATGTTACTATTGGTGTATTAAAATGAGAAGTTGCCATTGTAAATATTATGCAAACATGTACAAATATGATCTCTTGATAATAAAATGCTTTCAAATGTTTCGTTTTTATTCACATGTAATGTCACTTTGATCAAATATATTATCATAGAGAAAACTGTGCAAGTTTTGGTTTTTGCCCTAACACTACACAGCTGATTCAAATAATAAACTAATCATCAAGCTTTGATCATTTGAATCAGCTGTGTAGAGTTAGGGCAAAAACCAAAACATGCACAGTGTTTGGGAAACGCTGGGTTAAGGTTAGGCAAGGGTTATGGTAAAAGTAGCCTCGATACAGATAGAACATTGAGACAGATATTTCACCGGATGTATAAATGTGAAGCATCCGCTTGGCGTTTCCACTACCAAATATGGTAGTGAGAGGAAGCCCAGTGGCTGGCATTGGGAGAAGATTGAACGAGATGGATTTTGGCCGACATTCTGCTACTTTTCTCATCGATGAAAGATTTGATCTCAATACAGTTATCTGTTCCCAAAACTACAATAGGTTACGAACAGATTGGACTACGTTTTTTAGACTTTACCCTTAGCCAAAGTTTTTTTTAATGGAGTTGTTAAGGAGCATAAAGGCGAATTTAGTTTTTGCACACGCGCACTTCACAGAGTAGGCGTTGCCTAACAGAAATATGCAAATATATGCTAGAACGCACCAATAGGATCTCGCTAGCTCGTGTTTGGCTCTGCCCACCGCCTTGCTTGTTCTGCCCACTATGACTCTTTGTTCTCATTTGAAACGGCGGGCTGTGGTCTATCTTGGTTTAGTTATACTAAATCTTTGGTCTTGCGTTGCCATACCTCCAAAATCCCAAAACGGGTTATAGACTAGGTTAAGGTTATAGACTAGGTTAAGGTTATAGACTAGGTTAAGGTTAAGGACGTCCCAAGAAACACGGATTGCGCGAACCTTGCCCGGAAGTTATTTTTGTTCGTACGTCTTGAGTGCAAAGGTTACATGAATATTCCCCCGCCGGCGCATACACCTCTGTGACCGTCGCACTTGTTTGTTTTTTTGTATTAAAAAGGCAACTTTTAAAAGCGGGTAAGTAATGTACGATGATTACTTGTGTTTACAAAAAATAATGTCATTATACTCGTGTAAATTCGGAAAGAAGTGTCTGTTTTTAAGAACATGGACAGATCTGTTGACGCACTCTGTCTGAGGCGAGAGCTAACGTTAGCCAGCTATCTGTGGCGTTCTGACGCTTCAATTTGATAATAATTTCCTCAGACCCTGGACGTAGTTGGTAGTTAGCTAACTTAACAAATAATGTTAACCACATAGTTAGTTACTAGTAAATATAAACAAAGTCAATTGCGTAATCTAACACGTCATGACTGTAGTTTTTGTATTTTCTTAAAGATTGCGCCTCAGTTTCAAAACAACTGAAGTTCTCTTACTAGCTAGCTAACTTTGCTAACGTAAGCACCACGCTAGCTAGCCAGCATTTATTAGCATCCACTTAACTAGCCAATATGGTCATAGACTTACTGCAATGTGTAAGCGTTTTAGGAATACTAGCTAAATTGTTGCCGTTATCATATTTTCAAATCATGAACTAGTTAGTTAACTAACGGTACATTGCAATGTCACCTTCCAATTTATAATTCGCTAGCTAACTTACATAGCTAACTTTAACTTTTGATATTATGCAATGACAAGGCATCGAAATTGAAATGACCCGCGACGTAAACGTTAGCCCTAACTATTGGTGAAACTGCGACTGTTGGATTTGCTCAATCTGTCCCCACTGTATACCGGCAGTACTGCGACCACCACGACAGGAGCTGGAAAACATGGCGCGCCTGGTTGCGGTTTGCAGGGACGGGGAAGAGGACTTCCCTTTCCTCGCAAGACAGATTCCCCTGTACATCGATGACACTCTCACGGTAAGAAAGTGCAGTGTTTCCGTCTCGGCACACGGTGCTGTAGTTTGAAGGCTTTGCAATCAGTCACTCTTCTGAAAGAAGCTATCTATGTCGAGCAAGAAACTCAGGTCAAATGCCTTGACGTTAGTTGCGAGCGAGAGGACTACTGTTACTAGGCCTCTCCAACAACTAGCGTTAGCTAGCTAGCCCGATTCTCCAACCGGCTTTCCAGTCAGCAATATTGTTTGCTAGCTAGCTATTTTGGCATACCGAACGGTCATGAATTTAATGATTCCCTGATGTATGTTATGTAATGTATTTTTGAATTATGTTTCCAGCTAACCGGCAAGCTAATCACGACTGCAAACTGTTAATTGTATGCGGTTGCTAGTTAGCTGGGTGGGTGGCTTGCCTAAATGGTTATCATTTGAGCAGTGGTAGTATATTAGATACTGAGCATGGACATATGTTGGCTATGCAGGAACTGTATGGACAGGTTAATGTTGGAAGAGCATTCATTTAGTGGACAGCTTTACTTGCGCTACTTTACATAGCTGGTGTAGCATCCCCCAGTCATGTGCTGATGACACTTTCACTATGAATATATGTCCCTTTTTTAAATTTGTTATTACAGATGGTGATGGAGTTTACTGACAGTGTCATGAACCTTGACACTCACCAGATCAACAGCTCTCAGATGAAGCAGTTTGTTGAGGTGAGTGAGTGCTGTGACAGTTAGAAGATTTGAGTGTACCTTTCAAACATGGCTTGATAATGTTTACCTTAAGACTGGTTGTCTTACTTTGCTCAAGGATTAGGCTTTTATTTCTTCACCACTTAGCTACTACACACAGTACTAAGACAGTACTAAGTCAAGTGGTGTCTAACTCGTGTGTGCCTGCCTGCCTCTGCCTCCCCTCAGCATCACAGCATGCTGAAGCAGCAGGACCTGAACATCGCCATGATGGTAACTTCCAGGGAGGTGTTCAGCGCCTTGGCCCAGCTGGTGCCGTGTGTGGGCTGCAGGCGGAGTGTGGAGCGCCTTTTCTCCCAGCTGGTGGAGTCCGGGAACCCGGCCCTGGAGCCCCTCACTGTGAAGCCCACCGGCGTGCTGTCTGTCACCAAGGCCTGCATGGCCGACGCAAAGATGCTCTACACCCTCTTTTACGTCCACGGGTGAGTGAGAGACCTGTCACAAGACTCATACTCCTGTAACCATCATACTTTATTGGCCTGTCAGACTGCTTCTCGTGAAGCCTACATTTTATTGACCTGTCTCCAGACCGACTCTTTTATCTGTACTTTATTGGCCAATTTGCCTAAGAAACAATCTCTCAAAACGGTGCCCTCGATTGACAGAATAAATATTACATGCAATTTCTCGCATCCCTGTCAGAATCAGCTGTGTTTGTGTGTTGGAAGATGTTTTTTGTTTAGCATATGTAAATACTGAAACAATTTGACCACTATGTTTTTATGGTAAACTATTAGCATAAATAATGTGTCAGACTGGAAGATAAAATAATGTTGTTGTTTTGTTTTTGTAGGTCAAAGTTAAATGACACGATCAATGCCATTCCAAAAAGCAAAAAGAATAAACGCTGCCAGTTGCACTCCTTAGACACACACAAACCTAAGCCTTTGGGGTGAGTCACATTTACCACCGCTATTTATTATCTATTAAACTGCTTGTGTTGGACTTGTGACGTCATGAATGATGATACAATTCTAGAAAAAAAAAAAGTTGTAAAGCCTCTTCTCTCAGATCTTGTAAATGAAATGTAGGCTGAACGTCCACATTTTGGTCACACCAGGGCCAGACTAGGCCATTTCAAGCTACAGTAATAGTCATTTGTGATGTGCAGTATTGTAGTGTCTTTGAGATATCTCTGAATCTTTAGAGGAGAAGGGAGCGTAGACAAAATGCTAGGTTTAGAGAACAACAAAGATGGAGGAGCCAAGACAGACAGCAGATGTAGCGTCGTTTTTCCCTTTGGACGCTGTCCGGCCCCCAGCAGGTAGGCAGCAAAGCAAACACTGCTTGTTCATTCAGAGTGTTTCTAACTGACATTTCTTGATGCTAGTTAGTTATCGCCAGTCTGAAGTAGTTGAGTTCATTGTCAGCATCTTGTATTATGTTGTGTACATGTACATCTGTGAAGATCTACGCTTTTTTCAAAAGTAAAATACTTTTGAGTTAAAGCTAATTTTTAATTGGCACGCATGACCTTTTCGTCACCTCTATTGTGAAGCTGACTTGATAGGTTTATTGATTGAAATAATGCATTGATTGAATCGTGCATGATGTCAACAATGGGGGGTTTTGCTGCTCACAGGGGAAGCTGGATGGATGTGTGGGAGCTCATGTCTCAGGAGTGCAGGGACGAGGTCGTCCTGATCGACAGCGCCTGCCTCCTGGAGACCCTGGAAACATACTTGCGCAAGCACAGGTAAGTCATGGTATTAAGTAATATAGTCTGTTTACATCCAATGGGCTTTATTTTATTTTCGCATAAGACTGCTTGGGAAATTGTACTAATGTTTTAATCTTCCCTTCTCTTCCTTTCAGGTTCTGTACTGACTGCAAGAACAAGGTACTGAGAGCGTACAACATCCTTGTAGGGGAGCTGGACTGCACTAAAGAGAAGGGCTACTGCGCTGCCTTGTACGAGGGGCTTCGCTGCTGTCCCCACGAGCGCCACGTCCACGTCTGCTGTGAGACTGACTTCATGGCACATCTCCTGGGCCGGGCCGAGCCCGAGTTCTCCGGAGGTTACGAGTATGTAAACTGCTGCCTTTTTCCTTTGTTCTAAACACATGTAGTAACCTACAGTGCTGGCAAAATACATTGGCACCGTATAAACTGTTCTTAAATAATTCTGTATTTCTTCTGAAATAAGTTGCAATTAAAAAATAATTTGGTCTCCACACATTAGTGGATTTTCAACATTGCAGAACCAATTTTATTTTTGTTCAGTTTACAAATGGCCTGGACCACCTTCTACTTTTCAGCAGCAAACTGCTCTATTGCTTCAATGTTTGAGGGGTGCCCTCCATCAACTGCTGTGTTCAGCTCTTGCCATAGGTTTTGGATGGGATTCAGCCACTCAAGAACAGTCCAGCGTTCCTTCTTGAACCATTCCAGGGTGCCTTTGATGTGCGTTTGGGGTTGTTGTCCTGCTGGAAGACCCACAATCTTCAACAGAGAGACAGTCGTTTTTGGACACTGGGTTGAAAATTGCCCTCCAAAACACCTTGATAATCAGCAGAGTTCATGTCTTGCATTATCGATCCTCCCCCGTGTTGTCCTCTGTAGCTCAATTGGTAGAGCATGGCGCTTGTAACGCCGGGGTAGTGGGTTCGATCCCCGGGACCACCCATACATAAAAAAAATGTATGCACGCATGCCTGTAAGTCGCTTTGGATAAAAGCGTCTGCTAAAATGGCATATTATTATTTTTATGTTTGATTGTAGGGAGAGTGTTCTATTTTTAATGGTTTACTTGGCCTTTGGTAAAACATAGAAAGACCTCACTGCTGAAGGAGACACAAGAAAGCCAGATTGAACTTCTGTAAAACCTAAACTAACTTAAATCCCGGGGGGGGAATGTTTTGTGGACTAATAAAACAAAATTGGAGCTCTTTGGCAATAAAGATCAGTGCTATGTTTACTGACGACCAAATTTAAGCATGAAATGAAAACACCCTCCCTACAGTCAAAGATGGGGGAGGTTTGATAATGCTGTGGGGTTGCTTTGCTGTCTCTGGTACTGGGGGGCCTCGAACGTGCCCAAGGAATCATGACATCAGCAGGTGGTTTGGAGTCCAACGTTCCAACACGGTGTCTGAAAACTGGGTGTCCATTGAAGGCCCCAAACACACATCAAAAAAAGCACCCAGGAACAGTTCAAGAAGAGATGCTGGACTATTCTGGAGAGGCCAGCGAAGAGTCCAGATCTGAATCACATCCAAAACCAGCGAGCGCAGAAAACAGCAGTTGGACTTCCTAACGGGCCGCCCCCAGGTGGTAAGGGTAGGTAACAACACATCTGCCACGCTGATCCTCAACACGGGGGCCCCTCAGGGGTGCGTGCTCAGTCCCCTCCTGTACTCCCTGTTCACCCATGACTGCATGGCCAGGCACGACTCCAACACCATTAGGTTTGCAGACGACGTAACAGTGGTAGGCCTGATCACAGACAACGACGAGACAGCCTATAGGGAGGAGGTCAGAGACCTGGCCGTGTGGTGCCAGGATAACCTCTCCCTCAACGTGACCAAGACAAAGGAGATGATTGTGGACTAGAGGAAAAAGAGGACTGAGCACGCCCCCATTCTCATCGACGGGGCTGTAGTGGAACAGGTTGAGAGCTTCAAGTTCCTTGGTGTCCACATCACCAACAAACTATCATGGTCCAAACACACCAAGACAGTGGAAGAGGGCACGACAAGATTTGCCATGGGTCCTCAGATCCTCAGTTCTACAGCTGCACCATCGAGAGCATCCTGACTGGTTGCATCTGCTCAGCCTCCCCTGTGGGAAACGAACCCACATCCCTTATGGCCAAACCCTCCCCTCCCATGGGTCTCCCGGTCGCGGCCAGGATCTCTAGAGGCACAGCTAGCACTGTGATGCAGTGCCTTAGACTACTGCGCCACTCGGGAGCTATGCATAGTCACTTTATCCTGCTGCTCTTAATTATTTTTTATCTTAACTGCATTGTTGGTTAAGGGCTTGTCAGGAAGCATTTCACTGTAAGGACTACACCTGTTATATTTGGCGCATGTGACAAATAAAATTGGATTTGATTTGGTGGAGGGCACCCCTCCAACATTGAAGAATTAGAGCAGTTTGCTGCTGAAAAGTGGGCAGGACTTCCAGTAGACGGTGCTGCAAGCTCATTGATGGCTACAAGAAGCGTTTGTCTGCGGTTGTCTTGGACAAAGGCTGTGCAACCAAGCACTATCCCCAGGGCAGTGATGTAGTCACGTCACTACACCCCGAGGTCTGGTCCCTAGTGTCCAAGTCTGAATCCTTTATACTCAGGTCACCATCCCTTGGTAGTGCTAAAAGTAGCTGTCCAATCATTTTTTTATGCAACATTTCATTACACTAACCAGGTTTCCATCCAACATTTCTAAGGGAGTAAAGTACGTGGGATAAAAAAATGTCACGACAGGCCTGATGGAAACCGCAAATTTGTCGGTGAACTTTCCAAATGTCGACAAAACTAAATACTCTATACAAGGTGGGATCTTTTTGTGTCAATTGGATGGAAACCGATCTGCTGTTGCACATTTTTTTAAGGCTAAATAGATGAAACGGCTATCTAACACTTGCTGTTGTGGCTAGTATGTTAAATAATACAAAATATATTTTCTGACAGTCACAACTGGTCAAGTCCCAGGCTGAGCCACTAGTGGTCCCCAGGCTGAGCCACTAGTGGTCCCCAGGCTGAGCCACTAGTGGTCCCCAGGCTGAGCCACTAGTGGTCCCCAGGCTGAGCCACTAGTGGTCCCCAGGCTGAGCCACTAGTGGTCCCCAGGCTGAGCCGCTAGTGGTCCCCAGGCTGAGCCGCTAGTGGTCCCCAGGCTGAGCCGCTAGTGGTCCCCAGGCTGAGCCGCTAGTGGTCCCCAGGCTGAGCCGCTAGTGGTCCCCAGGCTGAGCCGCTAGTGGTCCCCAGGCTGAGCCGCTAGTGGTCCCCAGGCTGAGCCGCTAGTGGTCCCCAGGCTGAGCCGCTAGTGGTCCCCAGGCTGAGCCGCTAGTGGTCCCCAGGCTGAGCCACTAGTGGTCCCCAGGCTGAGCCACTAGTGGTCCCCAGGCTGAGCCACTAGTGGTCCCCAGGCTGAGCCACTAGTGGTCCCCAGGCTGAGCCACTAGTGGTCCCCAGGCTGAGCCAAGGGTGCCAATAATTTTGTCCATGCGATTTCTTTATTTTCTAAATTTTTAAATTGTAAACTTCAGTTTACAAAAATAAAATTAGTTCTGCAATGTTTAAAATCCAATAACATGGTGTTACATTTCGTGTTATTTTACAAGAAATTGGGAAATAAGGAAAGTGCAAGAGTGCCAATATATTTGTCCGGCACTGTAGTAGTAAAGTATGATCCAGTCACTCCACTTAGTTGCAGTTCTTCCACTACCTTTTTGTTTGCTGGTTAAAGACCATCATATAGAAGTAACATGCAAATTCTCACAACTCTCTTGCCCTCTCTCGTTAGACGCAGAGAGCGGCATGCCAAGACCATTGACATTGCACAAGAGGAGGTGCTGACCTGCCTGGGCATCCACCTGTACGAGCGGCTGCACAGAATCTGGCAGAAACTGAGGGCGGAGGAGCAAACCTGGCAGATGCTCTTCTACCTTGGCATCGACGCTTTACGCAAAAGCTTTGAGGTTTGTTTGTTTGCACAATGCCTGCCAGCATTAGGCCACCAATAACACGCTGATGTGACACGGACAGGTTTGTTGATGGAAGTGATGTATGTAGAGCGCTTTCCCATCCAACACAAGTCTATGTTTACAATGTGGTGACATTGTCACAGTGTATGTATTGACTCATTTGACATACTTTTTATATCATGTTTTATTTAGCCAGGTAAGTCATTTGAGAACTCGTCTTTTTATAATAACGACTTGGTAACACCCATTTCCCCCAGACGGCTGTGGAGAAGGTGCAGGGCATCAGTCGTCTGGAGCAGCTGTGTGAGGAGCTGTCGGAGGAGGAGAGGGCCAAGGAGCTGAAGCAGGAGAAGAAGAGACAGAAGAAGAAGAACCGACGCAAAAACAAGTGCAGCTTCGACGTGTCTGTGCAGGAGGCCGAGGGCAAGGACAAGAGCCTGGATGAGGTAACCACACACAAAACACGGAGCACTGAGGCAGCATGACAACAAGGAAATACATTTTAGTCATTTAGCAGACGCTCTTATCCAGAGCGACTTACAGGAGCAATTATCCAGAGCGACTCAAGGGCACATCGACAGATTTTTCACCTAGTCGGCTCGGGGATTAGAACCAGCGACCTTTCGGTTACTGGCACAACGCTCTTAACCACTAAGCTACCTGCCGCCCTGGAGACTGTTATAGGAAACTGTCCTTGCACGCCATCGGCATACTTATTCCACATTATCTGGTTAACCTCATCCAGGCCAACCATGTTATTGACTGATTTAATAATGCATTCTGTTTGTGACCTTGTTGTTGTTCACACACTGTGTTTGTCACATTAAGACATTCAAAATGCCATCAGTAGGTTTTAAATGGCAAATATAGCTATCAAATGTCCAGACAGACTCTCCCTGCCTATAACACTGCCTTCCCTTTCTGTGGTCGAGGCCATTTAGCGATATGTTACTCTAATGCTGTCCTGTCATTCTGTTATCCCCCCCACACAGGGTTCATTAGAGTCTGTGGAGAGTGGTGGTGGCTGCAAGGCCTGTGGAAGCCGAGAGGGGGAGGGGGGGCATGTCGGCTGTGTGGAGGTCGTCGTCACCAGCAACGAGAGCCCTACTTCCTGCAGCTGCCCAGACGGCAACGTGCCCATCCTGGGCTCTCCCAAAGTCAAGAAAGGTAATGCTGCCACCACCATCCAACCATCACTCAAGACCAGACACCTGACCCTTGGTAAGATCAATCTTACCCAATGATGGCCATATTTCTGAAATGTATTTATTTGATGAAGGGAACATGTACAATTTTAAACGTAAATCTCAATAGGAAATGTGATGTATTATATCATAGCTAGACAGCTAATTGCCCCGTGTAGCTCAGTTGGTAGAGCATGGCGCTTGCAACGCCAGGGTTGTGGGTTCGTTTCCCACGGGGGGCAAGTATGGAGAAAAAAAAATATGTATGCACTCACTAACTAAGTCGCTCTGGATAAGAGCATCTGCTAAATGACTAAAATGTAAATGTCATCTTCAGTCCCCGTTGATGAATCAACAGGCTGAGCTCTTTGTGTATATGTTTCAGTGTTTTCACTCTATTCAGACGGATAGAATGAAAGGAGACGTAGCGAGGGAGAATATCGGTGGGGTCGGGAGAATATCGGTGGGGTCGGGAGAATATCGGTGGGGTCGGCAGAATATCGGTGGGGTCGGCAGAATATCGGTGGGGTCGGCAGAATATCGGTGGGGTCGGCAGAATATCGGTGGGGTCGGCAGAATATCGGTGGGGTCGGCAGAATATCGGTGGGGTCGGGAGAATATCGGTGGGGTCGGGATGTGTACCCATACTGACTGTGATGGTGTATATTAGGGCTGGCCGATTTTTGACCATGTTCGACAGCCATCGTCGACGGTGACGACGTCGTGACGTCACAAGTTATGTTTTAGCATATTTGAACTTTTACTGCACCGCTGGAGTCTGGCAGGGCACACCAACGCACAGGGCGACATGCCAACTGGCCGGAAATGTTCAACACATACAGTCATAGCTAGTTAGACTATTAGCATAATGCTGATCATTGGCCTTTTTTATTGCGGACACGCCGTTGTCTGGCTTATTGTTTTCTCATCTTCCTTTTTCTCCCCAATCCCCGTTTTTGATTTGAATGCGTCTTGTTGGCCTCGGCATAGCCTACTTTTTCCCACGATCAACCATCGAAATGAATCTCGAGGTCTAACTGGAGTTCTGTCTCAGAACATAGTAATAATGAGAGAGACTAATGGAATTAGGTAGTTGGAAATAGCCTGAAACGTTACTGCTCTACTTGACCAAAGTGTAGGCAAAAATAAATTGTGCCGTCAGGAAAATCCTTCCTGGCAAAACCTACAGCCAATAATAGCATATAGGCCTACACATAGCCTACTGTCAAAAGTTGCAGTAGGCTAAACGTTACTTTGACAAATTAAACGTATAAATTTATATTTATAATATTTACGAAGCGTTTATTAATGTCCTTTTTAATTGCACAATGAGCAATAGGACATATAAGCTCCCGTAGAAGCACTTTCAATAATCGGAAACACAAAATTAATGAATGATGAGTTGTAGTTGTCTCACAAACAACTTTTTAATAGCTTACAAATTGTGCATTTACACGGAACAAAAATACAAACGCAACAATTTCAAAGATTTAACTGAGTTACAGTTTTATAAGGGAATCAGTTAATTTAAATAAATTAGGCCCTAATTTGATGGATTTGACATGACTGAGAATACAGATATGCATCTGTTCTTCAGATACCTAAAAAAAAATACAAATAATAATCATGCTGAAACGTGAAGTGATGGCGGCGGATGAATGGCATCACAACGGGCCTCAGGATCTCCTCACGGTATCTCTGTGCATTCAAATTCCCATCGATAAAATGCAATTGTGTTCGTTGTCCGTAGCTTATGCCTGTCCATAACCCCACCGCCACCATGGGGCACTCTGTTCACAACGTTGACATCAGCAAACCGCTATCCCATATGACAAATAGGCCTATTATCAAGGCTATGCCTTTTGCCTATCAGATAAAACAAATGATTATTAATAACATTCTTTGACACTCTTTTCACACCTAAAAAAAGCAATGAACATTGGCTTAGGCTAAAAACTAATAGCCTAAGCTTATTAGGATATGCCTTTTGCATATCGAACTGTACAAATCCTAAATATAGGCGTACAAGTTACAAAATAAATAAAGCAGCCTAAACAAAATAAGTACGAAAATAACCTAAATTAATACAAAAACAGTGCAAATAAGTCTTAAGGTTTGACAGAATATTTTCGCTTATGCTAGGGTCTGTGTCTCTCTCTCTCTCTGTGCTCGGGTCTGTCTCTCTCTCTCTCTCTCTGTGCTCGGGTCTGTGTCTCTCTCTCTCTCTCTGTGCTCGGGTCTGTGTCTCTCTCTCTCTCTCTCTGTGCTCGGGTCTGTGTCCTCTCTCCTCTCTCTGTGCTCGGGTCTGTGGTCTCTCTCTCTCTTCGTGCTTCGGGGTCTGTGGGCTCTCTACTCTCTGTGCTCGGGGTCTGTGCTCGGGTTGTGTCTTCTCTCTACGTCGCTCGGGTCTGTGCTCGGGTCCTGTGCCCTCTCTCTCTCTGTGCTCGGGTCTGTGTCCTCTCTCTCTCTGTGCTGCCGGGTTTTTTTTTTTTTCTCGTGCTCGGGTCTGGGTCTCCTCTCTCCCTGTGCTCGGGTCTTGTGGTCCTCTCTCCTCTCTCTCTGTGCTCGGGTCTGTGTCTCTCTCTCTCTCTCTGTGCTCGGGTCTGTGTCTCTCTCTCTCTCTCTCTGTGCTCGGGTCTGTGTCTCTCTCTCTCTCTGTGCTCGGGTCTGTGTGTGTCTCTCTCTCTCTCTCTCTCTCTGTGCTCGGGTCTGTGTCTCTCTCTCTCTCTATGCTAGGGTCTGCCTCTATGCCTTCAGGGTGTATTTCCAATAAGATGAATCTGGATTTGAATATAGGCTACATCAAGACAAATAAAAGGGCAATGAGGAACCATTAGGTCTAGTTGATTTACCATGTCTGGAAGGGACCACCAGAATGTTCACCTTTTCTCCCCCAGAGTAGTGAATTGAGCAGGACGATGGACTTGTAAATGTTGACTGAGGTTTGTAGTCTGTCCCTCCTTTTCCCTGAATCTTTTTGCGTACGCTGCAAGTGACTTCGGTCAGGTCTGCTGCTGTTCCCACATCTTTATTAGAATGATATTATTCACCAAATCACAGTTCTGGTATAACCAATGTGTACTTTATATTGTGTTTTTCCTGCCAATTGACCCCTACGTGCACAACTATGCCTGGATAGGACGATGTGTCATTCCAGACATCGCCCAACCCGTGTGTGTGTGTGTGTGTGTGTGTGTGTGTGTGTGTACATATGTCCAACAGTATGTGGACACCTGCTCATCGAACATCTCATTCCAAAATCATGGGCATTAATATGGAGTTGGTCCCCCCTTTGCTGCTGTAACAGCCTCCACTCTTCTGGGAATGCTTTCCACTAGATGTTGGAACATTGCTGCGGGGGACTTGCTTCCATTCAGCCACAAGCATTAGTGAGGTTGGGCACTGATGTTGGGCGATTAGGCCTGGCTCGCAGTCGGCGTTCCAATTCATCCCAAAGGTGTTCGATGGGGTTGATGTTGGGGCTCTGTACAGGCCAGTGAAGTTTTTTTCCATACCGATCTCGACAAAACATTTCTGTATGGACCTCGCTTTGTGCACGGGGGCATTGTCATGTTGAAACAGGAAAGGGCCTTCCCCAAACTGTTGCCACAAAGTTGGAAGCACAGAATCCTCTAGAATGTCATTGTATGCTGTAGCGTTAATATTTCCCTTCACTGGAACTAAGGCGCCTAGCCCGACTCCATTAAAAACAGCCCCAGACCATTATTCCTCCACCAAACTTTACAGTTGGCACTATGCATTCAGGCAGGTAGCGTTATCCTGGCATCCGCCTTACCCAGATTTGTCCGTCGGACTGCCAGATGGTGAAGCGTGATTCATCACTCAAGAGAATGCGTTTCCACTGCTCCAGAGTCCAATGGCAGCGAGCTTTACACCACTCCAGCCGACGCTTGGCATTGCGCATGGTGATCTTAGGTTTGTGTGCGGCTGCTCGGCCATGGAAACCCATTTCATGAAGCTCCCGACTAACAGTTATTTTCCGGACGTTGCTTCCAGAGGCAGTTTGGAGCTCTGTAGTGAGTGTTGCAACCGAGGACAGACGATTTTTAAGCACTACGCGCTTCAGCACTCGGCGGTCCCGTTCTGTGAGCTTGTGTGGCCTACCACTTCGCGGCTGAGCCGTTATTGCTCCTAGACGTTTCCACTTCACAACAACAGCCATTACAGTTGACCGGGGCAGCTCTAGCAGGGCAGAAATATGACAAACTGACTTGTTGGAAAGGTGGCATACTATGACGGTGCCACGTTGAAAGTCACTGAACTCTTCAGTAATGCCATTCTACTGCCAATGTTTGTCTATGGAGATTGCATGGCTGTGTGCTCAATTTTATACACTTGTCAGCAAGGTTTTTTTTTTTTTTTTCCCTTCTCCAGGTCTGTCACCTCACAGCAATGGGAGTGACTGTGGCTACTCTTCTAGCATGGAAGGCAGCGAGCCTGGTTCACAGGAAGGCTCTGACGTCGCCTGCGCTGAGGGAATCTGCAACCACGACGAAGCAGGTTGGTCCATTTTCAGTTAATGGTCCAAAAATAGTAGTGGCTAGGTGTGTAAATTTGAAATTGGGATTCTTAATGTTAAGAAAAATCCCTACCTGAAAAATGTTTAATTTTTATTTTTCCCCCACAAAATTTAAAATCATAGTGCAGTTATTACAAAACATTATTTTCTGTCTTATGGCCTAACTAGACGATATGCTATAGAGGCCTGGGGTAAGTTGTGTAATTTAAATAAAACCAGAGTAAGAGGTGAACTTTAGGCAACTTTGGTGAATTTGCGAGGCCTGCAAGACGACGACATTGCCTGCTCTTGCTCTTTGCTAATGATGCCAGTGTATGTTCAGTCTTTGGTCTGTTGCTTCTAGAATATCCTAGCCTATTCATTGATGATAGCCTCTGCTTTACTGAAGTTATCAGACATGGCAAGCCAAGAAATTGCGAGATGCAGCATTCCATTGCGAGATACAGCTTTCCCTCGCTATTCACGTGAAATTTTATGAATTTTTCATATATTTTCAATGAAAAAAATGCAGTTAAAACCTTTACGATTTTTTTCCCCCATTTGTTCCATCCCTAGTAGTGTTGCTGTCATTGTCATTTTGTGGAAGGCTCTAAATGTGGCGTACCTGTCATCTCCTTGTCTTCTTGTCATCTGAAGGAGACTACTTGTGTGGTCATCACTGTGCTGAAGACAAGGAGGACGGCGGGGTGGACAGCTGTGTGGAGTGCTGGGCCAACTCAAAAGAAAACACGAAGAAGAAGAAGAAGACTAGGAAGAACAAGGGCTTGTTGTCTTACCATCAGGTGAGATGAGAATGTCGTAGATGTGATTTAGCAGAAATTCCTGCTTTTAGTACATCATTTTCCATTCATATAGCCTATAATTGAAATGGACCTTTCCCATAGCCAGATTTTCCTGATGATATGTTAGCCTAGTCAGAGGTGTGATCAGGACATGTCATTCGTTGCTTCTCAGGTGGAAACTATTAAACAAAACGTAAACTTTTTCTCTTTTTTTTTTCTTCTTTTTTTTTCTCCACAGGGTCCAAATGCAGAGGGTTGTGTTGTGGAAGAGAACAGGAGAGCGCAAAACACTGCTGCAACGTCACCGGTGTGCAGAACCAAAGAGACGTGTGCCCAGTTGTGCCTCGACACCTGTTCTAGCATTGCACTGCCATGGGGAGAACATCGGAAGAACATGAGCTATTGTCTGGAGGCAAATATCTGTGGTCAGGAGGATACCAATGCCAAGAGTCTTATGGAACTACTGGTCAGTGACATTTTTTCCAAAAGCTGTGATGGTCACTTCAGTGTCGATGTCATTATTTGTACTAGTTTTGAGTGGCGCTGTAGGATGTAAAATATTATTCAACGTGTGTGTGTGTTTGGAAGGTCCATTGATCAGCGCTTTTTTTTTGTACTAAAAACAGGACGACTCTGAAGTGACTTCAGATGATGAGAACTGCCTCACGCAGGACGAGATCCAGTCGTTTGTGGACAACAACAAGTCCTTCTACAACAACCGCGACCAGTACCGACAGCACCTGAAAGATAAATTCACCAAGTACTGCCGCGGAGGTGGAGATTGGTTCGCTGCTGCCGCCGCCACCACCAGCGTCAATTAATGAATTAGCTGCTGTTGCACTACTCTGTCGTGAAATCTTGTTAATGGGACAACACTCATGGTGATTACCAGATTACCACTGCTCTGCTCGTGCCACCTTTTTTATAGGGAGAAAGAATTCAGTAGTACATTTTGGTGTCTTGTTCAATGATTCCTTATCCCCCCCCCCATTTGGTTGAAGTAAATGTGATTCTTAATTTCCCACCTCTGTTCTTCTTCACTCTGTCTATCTCTCTCCTCTCTTTTCACCTCTTCCTGTTTACCTTGTCACACCGTCCTTGTTGTCCTCCTCCCCACCCTGACCAAACCCAGCTGTTTCTTTCTGGTCTCATTTTGTAGGGCTGCTGGTTTAGAGCACAGTGGATCTGATAATTAAGCTTGCAAGCTGTGACGTTAGGGTTTAGCTGTTAGTAGTCAGTCGTTTTGTTTTTGTTTTCGCATTTTCCAATTTGTCTCGGTCTCTTCCTCTGTGACACTTCATTTTAGTGGAAAAAAGTTGTACCAATAAATGTGTACAGAAATGACATCTGAACAGATTTTACAGTAAAACATCCATTTATAACAGGGATTGGATGTAATGTTAAGAAGGGCGCAATGTGTAAAATTGACAAAATAAAGAATATTTATTAATATGCATTAGAAAATGTGTGCTGTATGACTTTTTTTCTACTTCTGACCTGGCAACCAACTCGTGCGATGTTCATGAAGAACCTGGAGATGGCGTGATATGAGAAGTTTATCCTCACAGGCCTGGGATTGTTAGCTGACCCAAAGGCAAACGTCAGAACAGTACTATACTTTACCGTCATCGAACTAATAATTTCATACCTATAGCTTCTTATAGTCTGCATTACATTTTCACACATAAAGGGGATTTCTTGCAAAACTTTCCAATTTAGGTTCAAACTTTGGCTGCTCTTGGTGGCAAAAGAATGCAACATGCATGTGAATGTGAAAGCTACATGGCAACAGCGCTTACTGTTTTGCTATACAGTAGCTAAGTACTCCTCTGACTAGTTAAATAGTGAGGATGACGTTTGTCTCCTAAAAGATTCCCAATTTTTAAGCATTGAATGTATCTTGCGCATTGTGCCAGCCATAGTCGTGATCTCGAACCACCATTTTATTTGCAGCAGTATTGGAATTGAGTGTTTTTCTGTTTGATCGTCACTTTTTTTTTTTTCTCAAATGTTGTCGTTTGTCTGTTTTGAATCCACTTTTTATTCATATAATGCTACTGGCTTCTGAGGAAGAAACTATCCAGGGCCCGGTTTCTCAAAAGGATCGCAAAGCTAAATTCATCGTTAGAACCAATGGTTCTAATGCCTTAAAATGCTTTTGGGAAACCGGGCCCAGGACTGGCTGAGCAAGTTTTTAGTTCCAGTCATCACATGCAACAACAAAATGACTTCTGTGTTGCAGATGTCCAAACGAATGCATTATGAAATCGTATTCGAAAGGAGACTACATCAACAGTGTATTCAGACTTAAATAATATCAGACTATCATAGTACATGATGACATCAGTATATGCACACTAAAATCCCGTTTGTCTGTTTTTCAGTATGAAGATTACACATCAACACAGTGGCTATGTCAGACTCGTATTTTCATACAAAACAAATACGCATCCTGATCCAGGAAGCAACAACTGAATGATTGACATCTTTTTTCAACCAACCGAAGAGCAATACAAACACGTTAATTCCACCTCTATTAGAAAATGACCAATAGTGATCCAGGAAGAACTTCCGCTGCAGGAGCAGGGACATGTTCATTGTACAAGCTGTTCTGAAAGAATACCGCGGCTATTGAGGTGAAGTCTGAAATACGTGATTTCTTCAAAGTTGTTTAATCGGTGAAAGACGATTTTTGTGTTCCGATTTAGTTTGATACGTGTTAACCGGTTAGAGCTGCATGTACGAATGAGCGAAAAGTAACGGTTGCGCGTTGTACATAATCGACATCACCGTTGTCGGCTCAGGAATTTGTTCGTGAACACAGCTAGCTTAGCTAGCTAGCCATTCTAGCCTGTATTGTGGAATGGATTTTTAGCCATAGACCGTTTCTAGCTCGACGAGGAATCTCATTAACGTGTCATTTTAATTGTTATAGTTTTTCCGCATTGTTGTTTAATTTGAGAGAAAAACAGCCTTTTCCTAGTTAACGCTTGTCTGTAAAGAAGAAAGGGGACATTGTGGGAGGAGAAAATAACGTTCTCAGTGGTTTTTACAAGAACAGTCCCCAAACCAACAATCATGAACGGGTTCAGCACAGAAGAAGACAGCCACGACGGCCCACCAGCGCCGCCGTTTTACGGCCAGACTTGTTGTTTGATTGAGGACGGTGAGCGCTGCGGACGATCAGCTGGAAACGCCTCCTTCAGCAAGCGTATCCAAAAAAGCATATCGCAGAAAAAACTAAAGCTGGACATCGACAAAAGCGTAAGTGTTTTATTGCTAACTAGTTGTCCCAACCATTTGAGACTATGTAGTTAGCCCCCTAGACATCCCCTCTACCAGCTGGCTAAGCAAGCCAAGCACTTGCTAATCGAGCAAGCTTGTCAAATTCAACCTCACACTTTTATTATGGTTTTGTTCTGCGCCATAATTATGTGTCACGAAAAATGGTGGACTTCTCTCTGACTGCTTATGGTTTCATTTGGAGTAGCAGCCAGTGGGACAGCAAAACTAGAAAGGTTTCTCCCCCACCTCCAATCCGAGCCTTGGCTGGCTGTTTCACCCTGCGTAGACAGTTTTTTCCACGCCTCCACTCCCTAAAATGGCTGTTACTAAGGAAGCTATAGGTTGTCCGGTGGGAAAGACACAAAAGTTGAGGATCAGGCAGTTCTATTTGGCTACAAGCAAGTGTGTTGAAAGAAAAAAGTCCCGTAGTGTATAGTTAATTGTTCTTTAAGATCCAGCTGCGAAATGTATACGATGTATCCGCCACAGACGAGATCGAACTCTGTCTTTCGGCGGTCGGTGCTACAAGGGTCCTCGCTAACCACAAAATGATGTGGAAACGTACGGTATGAGGAGTTAAACTGGCATAGTGTCAACATCTGTCACACCCAAAGAAGAACTATCTTGTGAATTTTCGATTTGTTTTTTTTTCCACTTGTGCATCATCATAATTATATATCTGTCTTATTTTAGGTTCGACACCTCTACATATGCGACTTCCATAAAAACTTCATCCAGAGTGTCCGTAACAAGAGGAAGAGGAAGACTAGCGACGACGGAGGGGAGTCTCCAGACCATGACTTGGAAGTTCCAGAGGTAACAGGCTGGAAAACAAGCCCATTGTCTTCACTTAAATCATGTGACTCTAAAGCATGACATTGCTTCTCAATAGGAAACATAATTGTTGAAGAAAATACCAGCAAGTTTAATACATTTTAGTCATTTAGCAGACACTCTTATCCAGAGCGACTTACAGGTAGTGAGTGCATAAAACATTTTTCTTCTGCCGGCCATTCCCTCCCCTACCCTGGATGACGCTGGGCCAATTGTGCGCCGCCCCATGGGTCTCCCGGTCGCGGCCGGCTATGACAGAGCCTGGATTCGAACCAGGATCTCTAGTGGCACAGCTAGCACTGGGATGCAGTGCCTTAGACCACTGCGCCACTCGATATGAAAGACAATATAAGATGGCTATTGTTGCAAATTCCTAATAGTATGAAATCTCTATGCATTTTCTGTGTGAAATGTAATTGATAGAGTGGCGCAGCTGGGCCGGCAGGGATGTAGCTCAGTTGGTAGAGCATGGCATTTGCAACGCCAGGGTTGTGGGTTCGATTCCCACAGGGGGGGGGGGCCAGTATGAAAAAAATAAAAAATGTTAATGTATGCACTCACTAACTGTAAGTTGCTCTGGATAAGAGCGTCTGCTAAAATGACAAAAAATGTGATAGAGAACAGTAAAATGTGCTTAAAGGTATTCAATCCTTTATGGGTAACACGCCAGTCTTTCCTGACGGTCGGTTGTTTCTGTGATGTCAGGTGGACCTGTTCCAGCTCCAGGTGAACACGCTGAGACGCTACAAGAGACACTACAAGCTGCAGACCAGACCTGGCTTAAACAAGGCCCAACTGGCCGAGGTAGACCTGCATTTACATTGTAGTCGTTAAGCTTCCTGTCTTATCCAGAGAGACTTACAGTCAGTGCATTCAACTAAGGTAGCTAAGACAACCACGTATCACAGTCATTGCAAGTAAAACTTTTCTCAAAATTTAACGACTGTTAGCAAAAATTAGTGCTAGTAAGAAATACAAGTGCGAGTGTTTTTTTTTAAAGCAAGGAAGACCAGTAAACCCACAGCTGTAAGATGAATGTAATATAGCATAGACTGGTAACAGTCTACACACCAGTGGCACATCTTAACAACATTTCCCAGCTAAAGATGAGCGTCAGGCAACATTTTTCCCTTTGATGAATATGTTCATGTATTGTCCTATATGGTGTATTGATAATTTTGCAATCTAGATGTACTTCATAATACTGGACTACAACCTATCAAGTCTCCCAGCGGCGACCCAAAACAAACCGCAACATCTGCTCTGTGCTGGCTGGTAGAACAGAACATCTAATTGGATAAGCGGCAGTTAAACCCAAAGGGTGGTCAAACTACTCGTGTCACTCTCATTCCTTGTCCAAATAAGCTTATTCCAACCTAATTTTGGCATGGACTGCTTAGTGTTAATATATCCATAGGACAAACGGTGCATTGTTTATTGCCGCAATGATCGTAGGTGGACTATAAAAAAAAAAATCTTACGTCACAGATTTCAACACTTGCATTTATTTTTGTACAGCAATGCAGTCCTGTAAAATATATATATATATATCCCGTCCAAAGAACAGGGTAAGCTGTCTCGGAAGGATTTAGCTCTAACAGAGTTAACTTCTGTCTTGGGGTTTCGTCGAGACAATTATTCATAGTCCTTTTCCTCTTCTAAGAAGTCCAGTATCCTCTAAAGAGGTGCCCTCCCCCTCAGTAGGTGCGACCATACCCCCATATTATTATTATTATTATTTACCATGATGTATGTGGTGTGGGAGCCCAATTACACAGTAATTGGACATAGACGGATTGTTAGGAGAATTTGTGAAATCGACATGTAATCTCGCAGCTGGCTCGAGCCCCGTCCTTACAAAAACCCCTTTATGGTGTTTCCAGCCTGACCCGGTGCTGGGGGGGTTGCGGGAGCTGGTTGAAATAAATGAAGCTGCCCTGTAAGTTGAATGTTTCCCCAGGCTGTAGAGAGGCCCAAGACCTCCATTAATGAGCCTGTCACCTCATTAATAAAGCACACGCCAACAGGTCCAACCAATTACAGCTCTCCATGTGCCGCCCACATTGAGTGGAACTGTCAGCCTGAATGGAGCTGGGTGAAACTACACAGAGGATGTTTATTTCCCCTCACGCTTGTTATTTTAAATCGAATGATCTCTGTGTTTTGGGTTTAGAGGGGATTGAATGTCTCCTAGAAACGCGTCTCGTGAATTTATACATCGAGTTCTAATCCTTGACAGTATGGGACTCAATGTTTTGGTCACAGACTGATGATCCCACTTGGTCTTTTGTTGGTCTTGCCTCCTGCTCTTAGATATAACATTCTATATTCAATATCACTCATCTTTGACAGAATGTTTTTATTAAAGTGGGCAGAAAACAACTGGATGTTCAATCAATAGACTGATTACACCGACCTCCTCTTTCTCTCTAATGTAATCTCCTACCTACAGAACGTTGTCCTCCTCTGTGGTAACCAAGTGATTTTGGCCTCAATGTTTATTTGTTTTCAGACTGTCAGTCGTCACTTCCGGAATATCCCGGTGAACGAGAAGGAGACTCTGTCCTATTTTATTTATATGGTGAAGAGCACCAAAAGCCGAATGGACCAGAAGTCGGACGGCAGCAAACCGCTGGAGTAAAGGCCACCAGTGAACCTCCCATACCAAGACTTGGACATGGACACGTGTGTTTGATAACAAGGTGTTTCCGACAGGCAGCCGAACCTGATTTTAAGACCGTTGTTGAGACTCCGCAGGGTAATGTAATGCTGTAATGTGAATATGCCGATATGTACAAAATGAACAGAGTATGAAGATATCAGCAACACGTAGAATGCAATGTATGATAGCTGCCGTAAAGATGTTTGGTATTTTTAGTTTTTTTGCGTCGACTGTTAACAATTATTATTATTATTTTTTTATGCTTGTGCCAAACCCAGAGTGTACAAACTTAAGATATCAATAAACTGGACAGGGTGCGTTTTGTGAATGAAAAGATAATTGAAAGGGTTTTGGGAAGCGTTGTACATTTTCTGGAGTCCAGCTCGTACTCATTGTGTCATCCAGTGGTGTGACATGCATGTGAAGACTGAGGATGTTGAACGATGTAGCATTTGGGCCGAGTCTTATTTTCTTAAATTTATTTTTTTCACTCAGACTTTTCCCTCTCCGGTCTTCTACGCTGAAACACACACAGACTGAAGTGGCGTTTCAGTGAAACACACACAGACTGAAGTGGTGTTTCAGTGAAACACAAGCTCTTTTTCAAGTATTGGTGGTGATTTTCTATGATTTTGTATTTTCTTTTACTCACTAGCTTTTGTGAGAAATATAAAGAACAGTACTTTAGTTCATCCTTGATTGTAAGATTTCTATGTAAAGTTGTGTCTGGTGGGAAATAACTATTTCAACAGTTTTGGATTTTGTCATTTTCATGCTTTCAGCTTTTGAGACTCATTTTAAGCAATTAATTGAAGCTGTGTTCATTAGGGTTGAAAATGCGTCATTGTTACTATATATATATATATATATATATATATATATTATAACGTATTATTTCAAAAGCCAATGTAGTTGCTGTACTAACAGAGTGAACTGTATTTGAACCACCTAAATTGCTTTCACGGTGCACACGAGCACTGGCTGTACTTTGCTTTAGTGTTCACAATATGTTTGTTCTGTTCTATTGGAATGTATTTCTGAGCAATCATGTCCCCCTCGGCTGTCAAGTCCATTTCCTTTCCTGGCACAGTGTTGAAATTATGTGTGTGTCTAGTGAACACACGATAACAGTACCAATTATAGTCACTGGAGGAAGATGGGAGTTGTACAACAAAAAAATACAATTTACTTTTAGCTTCCTCTGTGTCACTGATTTGGTAGTTTCTTCTCCACTTCAACACTGTGGTTTGCTGGTTTGTTTGAGTCTCTCCACAGACGATATGGTAATGCCTTTTAGTATTGAGTTGTTTCAATTTTCCCTGGCCTTTATTTAAGTCCTAAGAAAGGAGTAATGTCTGCTGTGTTCCATCCTACATCATCAGCCAGCCATGTCTGCTGTGTTCCATCCTACATCATCATCAGCCAGCCATGTCTGCTGTGTTCCATCCTACATCATCATCAGCCAGCCATGTCTGCTGTGTTCCATCCTACATCATCATCAGCCAGCCATGTCTGCTGTGTTCCATCCTACATCATCATCAGCCAGCCATGTCTGCTGTGTTCCATCCTACATCATCATCAGCCAGCCATGTCTGCTGTGTTCCATCCTACATCATCATCAGCCAGCCATGTCTGCTGTGTTCCATCCTACATCATCATCAGCCAGCCATGTCTGCTGTGTTCCATCCTACATCATCAGCCAGCCATGTCAGGTGTGTCGTTGCAGAAGTATCGATGGCTTTTGTTTTTGCTTGTAGCCTTGTTAGTGCCATGTAGATTTCCCCCTCTTGAACATATTGGCTGTACCGCGTTAATACTGTATTGGCTGTGCCGCATTAACCGAACTTGTAATAGATAAGACGTATTTAAATATGGCTGCGTATTGCATTTTAATAAACGTATTGTACATAGATAATGGCTTGTCTTTATTTGCTGTGGGGCCAGTCACTCTCTCTTCTGATTTAGTAGCTGGATAGGATTAGTAACTGACAAACCGCTCTCCTTTCATGCTTTTGCAACCACATACAGTGAGATGTAATTATGCAGCCCTATCACTAGTATTGCAGATTTAAAGTGCACCTCTACCACATGCATACATTATTCTCTCTCTCTCTGTCTGTCTGTGTGGTTACTAGATCTACCGCTAGATGTCAGCAGCATTCTGTTGGGCTCCAGTGGGGGGGCAGGCAGAAACAATGCTAGACCCGCTCCACATGAAGGTAACAGGGCTGAAACCTGACATGTTACCTACATGTGACATTTCGTAGGCTATGCAATAAGAGAATGACACGTGTTTTTCCAAAGTAAATATTGCCGCCTGTACATGATTCGTTGATGTGGAATGAACTTGGCCTGGTTAAGACCATTGCATGTGCGCAGATGCAACTATTTGCTGGAGGAACCGGTTTCCAAATGGGTTAGACGGGCCATATATAGCCTATACAACTTATGGCTAGTGCTATCCGGCTTCCCTGGGAAGACCCTAAACCTTAACCCCTAGCCATAACCCTTACCTTAACCGTAGGAACGTCCTGTGGATCCCGAATAGCTATTTTATGTCTGTTTTCATTCTTTTTATATCGTTATTTGTGAGAAATATAAGAACAGTACTTTAGTTAATCCTTGATTGTAAGATTTCTATGTAAAGTTGTGTCTGGTGGGAAATAACTATTTCAACAGTTTTGGATTTTGTCATTTTCATGCTTTCAGCTTTTGAGACTCATTTTAAGCAATTAATTGAAGCTGTGTTCATTAGGGTTGAAAATGCGTCATTGTTACTATATATATATATTATAACGTATTATTTCAAAAGCAAATGTAGTTGCTGTACTGACACAGGCACAACGTAGAAAGTCTCAACTTGAGAGCAATGAACTGTATTTGAACCACCTAAATTGAGTTGGGTTTTTTTGTCACTGGCCTACACACAATATCCCCAATTTGACAAATTAATTAAAAATATAAGGCGGAAATGTCTTGAGTCAATAAGTATTCTACCCCTTTGTTATGTCAAGCCTAAATAAGTTCAGGAGTAAAGATATGCTTAACAAGACACATAAGTTGCATGGACTCACTCTGTGCGCAATAGTAGTGTTTAACATGATTTTTCAATGACTACCTCATCTCTGTACCCCACACATACAATTTTCTGTAAGACCCCTCAGTCGAGCAGTGAATTTCAACCACAAAGACCAGCAAGGTTTTCCAAAGTCTCGCAAAGAAGGGCACCTATTGGTAGATGGGTAAAAGTGTTGTTGTTTTTTTATGCTGAAAATGAATATCCCTTTGAGCATGGTGAAGTTCTTAATTACTCTTTGGATGGTGTATCAATACACCCAGTCACTACAAAGATACAGGCGTCCTTCCTAACTCAGTTGCCGGAGAGGAAGGAAACCGCTCAGGGATTTCACCATGAGGCCAATGGTGACTTTAAAAAAGTTACAGAGTTTAATGGCTGTGATAGGAGAAAACTGAGGATGGATCAACAACATTGTAGTTACTCCACAATACTAACCTAATTGACAGAGTGAAAAGGAAGCCTGTATGGAATAAAACATATTCCAAAACATTGCATCCTGTTTGCAACAAGGCACTAAAGTAATACTGCAAAAAATGTGGCAAAGCAATTACGTTATGTTTGGGGCAAATCCAATACAACACATTACTGAGTACCACTACATATTTTCAAGCATAGTGGTGGCTGCATCATGTTATGGGTATACTTGTAATCGTTAAGGACAGGGGAGTTTTTCAGGATAAAAAAGAAACATAATGGAGCCAAGCACAGGCAAAATCCTAGAGGAAAACCTGGTTTAGTCTGCTTTCCACCAGACACTGGGAGACGAATTCACCCTTCAACAGGACAAAAACTAAAACACAAGGCCAAAGAAGACAGTGAATGTTCCTGAGTGGCCGAGTTACAGATTTGACTTAAATCTAAGCAACGATCAACAACCAACTTGACAGAGCTTGAAGAATTTAGAAAATAATAACGGGAAAATGTTGCACAATCCAGGTGTGGAGACCTCTTAGAGACTCACAGCTGTAATCGCTGCCAAAGGTGCTTCTACAAAAGTATTGACTCGGGTGTGAATACTTTTGTTAATGAGATATTTCTGTATTTCATTTTCAATTAATTTGCTAACATTTCTAAAAACATGTTTTAATTTTGTCATTATGGGGTATTGTGTGTAGATGGGTGAGAATGTTTTATTTAATCCATTGTGAATTCAGGCTGTAACACAACAACATGTGGAATAAGTCAACAGGTATGAATACTTTCTGAAGACACTGTATGTGCATAGGGCTCTGCAAATATAGACTACCAAACCAATATTATGCTGTCCTAATATTTCAAATTAGTTGCTGGGTGATCTATAAGCACATTTTTGTTCAAGGCTATATGTTTTTGCATCATTGAAATAATAGCCTACGTCATCTCTGGTGCACGTTTCAGTTTTTGCACCAAGCACTACACAGCTGATTCAAATCATCAAAGCTTGATGATGAGTTGGTTATTTGAATCAGCTGCTAGGACAAAAACCAAAACGTGGCCCCAGGAACTAGTTTGGGAAACCCTGGTATAGGCTATGCTTTGAAATTGATTGATTGATGGGACGAGTTTATCTTGTGGGCTGATAAGTCAATCGAAAGACAGTTTTATTGGTTCAGGCGAAACAGCGTGCGTCTGTCCCATGCCAAAATGGTATATATAACCGTAAATTGAACGTAACAAAATATTAGTTTTTCGTCTACATTTTCAACTGAATTGCTATTGACCTATATTGATCTATAATTAATTTCAGAATGTGGTAAATATCGTATAGAGCCAATCAAATGTTTTAGCTTATACCCAAGAAAATAGCCTATAACTGCCATCACAAATGGCATATGACTTCTCTCGCCTATATCAATTATGGCTAGAGATATATGCCACTGATTATTTATTTTACTTCGGACCCCAGCACACTGAAGCATGTGTTTTCATGTGTTAAACTACTGCACCTCAAACCCTTATGTTATCTAGTACATTACCATAAAACAAAAGATTGAAGAAACAAAATAAGAGAATGTATCCTCGAGGGTCAGCGGTATGGGGACCTGGGGTAGTGGGAGGGAATGGGTGTTCTTATGGTCTTCCACAGCCTTTTTTTATTTTTCACACATGCTATGATTAAATTGTACCATTTGTAACCAACATTTTTTTTTTACCAAACTGTACCATTACTCGGATGTGTCTCATGATTGGTATCAATAAAAAAATGTAAATACTTAGAGAATGTATCCTCAAATAAAATAAATTAATAAATAGTAGCCTAGGGATATGCATGTCAAGATTTGGAGGCCTATACCTAATCATTCTCTTGAAGCACTGAATGATTTCATTGCCGTTTTACAACGATGTTGTGATGAATTATGTCATTCATTTATTAAGTCATCTATTAATATAATTTTACATCCAATTCACACAAAGAACAATTTCGTCAGATTCAAATATATAGTCTAATAATTAGCCACCTGTGTCCTTTGGAAGTAAAATATACCTGTAGTTTTCTATTTCAAAGGGACAGTTACATTAATTTGAGGTAGATTCCCAAAAAAATATATTTACAAGACATAGCACGACAAGTCGACACTACTATAACAAGACAATGCATAGCAGAAAAAAATAGTGCTGAACATTGATTGCCGCGTAAAGAATAAAGAAACACCGCACATATCCCACGGTGTCAGTCTCTCCGTTCGGTATTGTGGCCTATCCACAACCAAAAATATTTATTCTAAGCTATATAGCCTAACTTTCATTTATATTCTATCAAAGAATACAAATGACAAAGAAAAGGTATCCAGGCAGTTTTTGAATCATTTGCATAATATTGCATTTCACCAAGTCTACCTTGTTTGAATTTGAACATTGCACGTAGAAGGCCTATAGATGTGTATATAAGTGGTTGTATTCCTTGCAGCGAAGTGCTTGAATACGGAGTCTGCGTGGGTTTCTGCTGCCGCTCTGCTCAATGAGGTCAGAACAGTCACTGGTTCAATTCCAAAGCCCAGACTTGCTGAGGCCAACCTGTCCGTCCTTTGAACTTTTTCTCGTTTCCTAATGACTCTTGCAGGTCCTCGTTCTGTGAAAGAAAGGAAAATGGTGGTTTAGAATATTGATATAGCATTATGCAATTGTATTGCTGACTGACTTTTAACTCAATGTAAATTGACATGGTCTGAATTAAATACACACAAATTAGCCTACATTTACTATTTAACAACCAGGCTAGCAGGATCATAGTGCTCGACTGTGTATCTTTAAAGGCCTTCTCAGGCTTGTTCAATTGAGCAAAAAATATAACTCTGATATGGGATTCTAAAATGACTTTCATTGTTCTATACTGTGAAATGTTTTCGCTTTGAAGAGTCAACAAACGTGGTTAAGCAAATTATTTGAACATCAAATGAATAGGCCTATATAGTAATTGCAACATTATGGCCTCAACTTTGTTTCAACAATTAAAACCACAATCACGAAGGTGCATATTCCTTAATTACGCCTTAAATACACTCAATAACGATTAAAGTAATTTAGGTTGATGGCAGAATGTAAATTCCAATAAAGACTTTTTAGGCCTACAAAGTTTTCAGAATAAGCATTTTAGTACACATAGCCTACCGTTTCCCGTTTCCGTTTCAAATCTCTGTTATCATATTTCTTGATTTCGGCCTTGAATCCCTCCGTCTCCCCAGTGTCTTTAGCCAGCACGTCCATTAAGTAGGCAATGTAACTTGTTGCTAGTCGTAACGTTTTAATTTTGGACAGTTTCGTGTCTGCGGGTACGTTTGGTATACATTCTCTCAGTTCAGCGAACGCAGTGTTGATGCTCTCCGTCCTCCTCCGCTCCTTCTTCGGCCCCGAGGCTCTCCTCTTCCCAGTGCGCGCTGAGGGAGCGTCCAGCTGGCTGTCGTGAGCCGGACCCTGAGCCCCAAACTCCGTGGAGTACGGCGTCTGGATCTGGAAATCAGGAGGGACTTCGCCGTGGTTCACCACCCAGCTTTGGAAGTACGGGGTATCTTGATGACACCTCTGGACGAATGGAAAGGTCTCGTGCATCAGATGATGATGCTGGTAGCTCCCAATAAGGTTCATTTTTTTTTTAAAATAGATAAACAAAAATCTCCACAGGTCCCAGCAGGTCTTTTGTTGGAGTCTTGAGGTTGGTAAAACTCGTCACTGACCAATGCTATAGTGATCAGGAGAAAGTGACATTAGCGAATGATGCTCCAATTGACATAGGAAGACCTTCACTATAACAAATACAAACACATAAGACAAGCAACACACGTTTTTAAACGTTTCTCCTAAAAAAAAAAAAGAGTCAAGTTTGTTGAGAAACCGTCGTCATTCTGATAGACTAGAACAATTACGTGTGAAGTGAAGTAGTATAATCCAGACAGGTTTTGGCAATCTGGAGAGCACTCCTTTTTCGTGGGATTGCTCTCATTTGCGCAAGAAATTTGACCCTGCTGAAGGTGCTGGGCCTCAGGTTTATATGGTTTCGAAAACAACAGAACGACCAGTCAGCCAATGAGGTGAGATGGCCACAGGTTGGGGTGGAGAGTGTGGGAGAGCAGCGCAGTCAGCGAGGTTTACAATAACATGTGCCATGGTGCCACAACCAAAACCCGTATGCGAGCGGACGCAAACCAATACGTAATTTGCACGGCCTGTTCCCCTTCCAACCCGAAGAAGAGCATAGTTTTCATGTTTAATTCGAACACTCATAGTGGAAAATGCTCCTGCGGATTCCATAATGAGCTCTCTGCAGCCTTTACGCGCGGTTTTTCCCCACACTCAGAATTTATCATTTTTATATTTATGTTTTGCTTCAGTTAGTAAAATATTATGTTTTCGTTCAGCATGGATTCCATTGGTCCTATATTACATGCATTTGTGGAAAAAATAAGTTCCTTGCATACATTGTGGTCCTCTGTAGCTCAGCTGGTAGAGCACGGCGCTTGTAACGCCAAGGTAGTGGGTTCGATCCCCGGGACCACCCATACGTAAAAATGTATGCAAACATGACTGTAAGTCGCTTTGGATAAAAGCGTCTGCTAAATGGCATATTATTATTATTATTTATTATTATTACATGTTGTAGCTTATTTCTTTGTGAGCATATAGGCTTTGTAATATATTTCACATCTAATACAATTAGATGTGAAATACTTTGAGGAAGGGGAAATGGTTAATTCAATATAATGTAGGCTAGAGATAGAAATGCTAAATAAACGTGTAGGCAAAACGTATAGGTAATAGGCCTACATTAGAAATAAAATGCAATGGTGTATCTTAACATTATTATTTTGCAAAATTGATAATATGGTCTACTCGGTTAGTGCGCAAACTGTGTATTCTCATTGGTGAGATGTGTGACTGAGCAGTGCCAACCCTACAAGAACATTTGGAAACAAATGTTTTATTAATTAACCTTTCAAATGCGTCAATTGTTTTGTTCTCTGCTCTTTCACCCCCTACATTTGAAATCGTCCCATCACACAATTCCTTTTGTTGTTTACGCAATCCAAAAACGGTCCATTCTAACCATGCTTTTAATTTTTTTTTTGCTTTTAATCATACCGGAACTGTAGAATCAACCTTTGTTATAGTTTTATATAAATGCCTAATCATATAAAACCATAGAAACTTAATTTATAAAGGTAATTTAAATAATGACCTCACTTGATGAGTTTACCTGAATAGGGGGAAAAAAGTATAGCCTAATATTTGTGTGTCCTCTGAATAATGAAATGATAACATCGTTTCGTAAATCTAGCAAGTTACTTTTTACATTCAACACGGTGAATCTTTTGGAATATTGGTCCTATTTGGGAATAAAATATAAACATTTCGAAGCTGCCTATTTCGTCAAATAAGTCTACTTGTTTGCACAATAACACACATTCATTAGAGGTTATTATTAAAATGTCCATGCAGTTAATGTGACCTGGTCCTCTGTAGCTCAATTGGTAGAGCATGGCGCTTGTAACGCCAGGGTAGTGGGTTCAATCCCCGGGACCACCCATACGTAAAAATGTATGCAAACATGACTGTAAGTCGCTTTGGATAAACGCGTCTGCTAAATGGCTTATTATTATATTATAAACATGGAAAGGATACATTATTTATTAGTCTGTATTCCGTTAATTGGAGAGGCTTCTGATATGAGATTATTTATTCACTGTTCAAGTAATTACATTTTTATCAAGTAAAAATATGCGGGAACAGCATATAGTCTAAGTATTGATATGCTACAAAAACATTAATGTTATTTAAAAAAAAAAATGTAATAAAAGTATTCATTTTCTCATAGGCTAAATGTTTACAATTCAAACGCATGACGCACAATTTGAATTAATGTTTATGGTCTTGGGGTTAAAATGAATGACGGTTCTGTGTGTGAATATTTTGTAAATATTTTGTGTAACGCGTGTGTACAAATACACTGGGCCTACACGCAGAGCTTTAGCGTCACGTGCTTCAACCGACGCTATAACGGGAGAGCCAGTCGCGAGGGGGGCAGCTGAAAGGAACGCGCCGGTTATCTCTCTTCGGGCTCAGTATTATTCATTCTCCATAGCTCAGTCAAGTAGCATTCCGCATCGCTGCCTACTACAGCCCCATACTAACATACCATCTAATCTCTATCAGCCTAAAACATTATCCCATTACATTGTATGACCTTGACGCTATTTAGAAACCATTTACTGCATTTCTTATCTAAATATAGTAATAAATCAGCGGTGTCACGTTCCTGTTTAGCGCACGTATTCCATAAAAGCACTCCTTGGAAGGCCACTGTTTACATTAGGGCAGTTGGCTACATATTTTAACGTCACCTATGTTAATGCCAACGGTCACGAGAAATAATCAGTCACAACAATATGCCCATTATGAATGGCTGTGCTGTCAGAGAAGTGGCCATGCAGTCATGATCAGCTAGCTTCCTTTTCACGGTCAGTAAGATGTAGGACCATATCAAACAATTGGTGTTCAGTTGTTAAATTGCAACGATAATCCGAATGTCAGTGTCATTTTTTTTGGCCAACTCTGTTGTTTTCGAGTGCACCAGAATTGTTTTGCTTGACATTTTCAATATTATTGGATATAGCCTACATTGTTCTAGTAACATTAGACTGTATTTGATTCAACAGTTTGCAACTTGCAAGTATTTTACATCGTTTACCTCTGCTTTTCATTTTGCCTTTACAATGTATTTTTGATTATTTTTTTTTCTTTACCGCTGTTCTTTGATTTAGATTTCATTTCTTGTCATCATTTCTATCCATTTTATTTAGTTGAGCCGTCCCACTGGGCACACACTGGTTGAATCAACATTGTTTCCATGTCATTACAATGAAATGATGTTGAACCAATATGGAATACAAGTTGATTTGATGTCTGTGCCCAGTGGGAAGGCTCAATTTTCACAGGTATCTCAAGAAGAATGAATGATTTACAATCACTCCATTTAATATACCCTCCATTTGTATAGTATCTGCCCCTCACAGTTCTCCTGTCAGTATGAAACGACCAATGCAGACACAGCCTCTTGAAAAGAAAACCTGACACTGTTGATTAAGACTTCCACTACACAGATATGAAATATAATACTGGTCATATTTTTCTATAGCTCGCTGTAGCCAACACTTTTCAACACTAAAAAGGCATCAGCGTCCTCATAGTCTTGGATAGGCTCGGGCATCTTGTGGCACCCACAGGAGCACTGAAAGACCCTGGTCTCTGGCACCAACAGGAGCACTGAAAGACCCTGGTCCCTGGCACCAACAGGGCACTGAAAGACCCTGGTTCCTGGCACCACAGGACACTGAAAGACCCTGGACCCTGGCACCAACAGGAGCACTGAAAGACCCTGGTCCTGGCACCAACAGGAGCACTGAAAGACCCTGGTCCCTGGCACCAACAGGAGCACTGAAAGACCCTGGTCCCTGGCACCAACAGGAGCACTGAAAGACCCTGGTCCCTGGCACCAACAGGAGCACTGAAAGACCCTGGTCCCTGGCACCAACAGGAGCACTGAAAGACCCTGGTCCCTGGCACCAACAGGAGCACTGAAAGACCCTGGTCCCTGGCACCAACAGGAGCACTGATATACTCTGGTCCCTGGCACCAACAGGAGCACTGAAAGACCCTGGTCCCTGGCACCAACAGGGCACTGAAAGACCCTGGTCTCTGGCCACCAACAGAGCACTGAAAGACCCTGGTCCTGGCACCAACAGGAGCACTGAAAGACCCTGGTCTCTGGCACCAACAGGAGCACTGAAAGACCCTGGTCCCTGGCACCAACAGGAGCACTGAAAGACCCTGGTCCCTGGCACCAACAGTGACCTCTTAACCGTATGCCTTTACCTCTGAACTCCCATCTCTCTCTCTCTCTCTCTCTCTCTCTCCTCTCTCCTCCTCTCTCTCTCTCTCTCTCTTCTCTCTCCTCTCTCTCTCTCTCTCTCTCTCTCTCTCTCCTTTCTTTATTTCTCTCTCTCTGCTCTCCCCCTCTGTCTCTCTCTGTTTCTCTGTCTTTTCTAGCTGTGCCTGGGGAAACATCCAAAATAGGTCATAGGAACCATCTTGACCGTGTTATGAATTCTCCTCGGAATTATTTGTGTCATCATGTAGATTTTTCAATGGTGCCGTTTCCCCCCTCTTCAGAATGCTTACTCTGGACTTCAGATTTTAAACAAATATCCCCAGAATGATTCAAAGCTAACGTGCTCAGCATGGCATAACTATTCCACACAGTATGTCTCCCTCTCTTCTTCTCTTTACCGTATTCCCTTATATCCATCTCTCGCATGAAACTTCTAAATGCAAATTGATTAAACGTTATGCACACAAACAGACAGTCTCTCTCCACGGCTGCTCGTTAGGGCGGGGAAATATGCACTTTGGCTTCATGTGCCTCCCTGGCCGTCTCCCTGTCCCCATTCAATCTCAAGCAGCATCTCTCTCATGCATCACCCTCGTGACCGTCGGTCGCTGTGTTGTGTTTTTCCTCCCATCCTCCACCAATAAAGATAAGACAATCCGGCTGGAATGTGGTGAGGGTGGCTCGGCGAGGTACATTTGGGGTAGATTCTTGTGATTGTTTACAGCAGTGATGAGGTTGGGAGACCCTGGTGCCCTCGGAGCTGATTTATGCTGTGTGTTTTCAGCCAGGGAGAGCGAGACCAGTGGTCTGGACAGAAGCCTACCCAGCAGCCCCAGCAGAATACCAGCCCCAGCCCCATCTCTGTGCAGACACGAGACACCCCACACAAATACCCCCCCCCCCCCCCCCCCACCACCACCCATTTTACAGTCCCGGCTCCTGAGACCACCAACGGGACTGGCACTAATGATTTCACAGGAGTCATTTTAAAAGAGCACAGCTGCTCTATGTCAAAATGCTGCAGAGTATTTTGGGAGAACAGCGTTGACACACAAAAAACATCATCCTATAGATGTGACCCTGGGAAGTT